AATTACGCCAAAATATCTTTTTTTGTGCTGGTTCAGTCCCGTGAAATTTTTCAGCCCTAGTTTTCATTCATTGTGTACTTTTTATTTTCAATATTTAACATTTCATTAAGTGTTTGTTGCATGCTTGTGTCTTTTTTTTTTTTTAGGAAAAGAGTGATATACCAACTGTTACTATCTGTAAAAAATGTATAGTTCCCAAACCAGCTAGAACTCATCACTGCAGTATCTGCAACCGGTAAGACCAGTGAGCGTTTAAACTCAAGGCAATACAAGTGAATCTGATGTCCTTTTACATATGTTACTTGTGTTAATTACTGAAGTAATGCCAGTAAATTATGCATAATTACATCCAACTAACCCTAAACCAAACTATATTCCTTCTAACCCTATAGAAAGCACATGTCTTAAATGTGTAATTCCAAGAATTACAGAATTAATGGAATAAAACATTTAATTTAAAGATTAATCAGTTATCAAAATGATCAATTGCTGCAGTTTAATTTTTAAATAAAATAATGCGTTATATTTTGTTTTCTCCATCACAGATGTATTTTGAAAATGGACCACCACTGTCGTATCCTTGTGAAGCAGCCAGTAAATAATAATGACCATATGAGATGTGAAGAAAAGCAAATGTTCTTTCATTATTATGTGACCATGTCCTGCTGTGGTTTCCGTCTTAACTGACCACTCCTCCAGCCTGGTTGAATAACTGCGTGGGTCATTTCAACCACCGGTACTTCTTCAGTTTCTGCCTGTTCATGACCATGGGCTGCATCTACTGCAGCATCAGTGCCAAAGACATGTTCCTGGACGCTTATAACGCCATCGAGGTCAGTGACCCCTTCTTGACGTCCTTTTGGGGTTTTACTTTTACTCAGGCAAACTTACAAGATCCAAATGCCTTCAGAGAGTTTACTGGTTTTGAAAGAAGTCTCTTCTGCTCACCAAGGCTGCATTTATTTGATCAAAAATACAGTTAATATTGTGAAATATTATTAAAATGTAACTGTTTTCAATGTGAATGTTGAAATGTAATTTATTCCTGTGATCAAAGCTGAATTTTCAGCATCATTACTCCAGTCTTCAGTGTCACATGATCCTTCAGAAATCACTCTAATATGATGATTTGATGCTCAAGAAACATTTATGATTATTATCAGTGTTGAAAACAGTTGTGCTTCTGTTTTTGTGGAAACCGTGATATTATTTTATGAAAATAACAGCATTTATTTGAAAATATAATCTTTTGTAACCTATAAATGTCTTTTACTGTCACTTTTGATCAATTTAATGCATCCTTGCTGAATAAAAAGTATGAATTTATCTCAAAAATAAAACTTTAAATGATCATTTAGATTGTTTAATGGTGAGCTTGCATTTGTTTTGTTTTTAGTCAGGCAGGGATATGGACATTCACACACACAAGGGGAGGTGGTCCTGGGGGTGGGGCTAATCTAAAGGGGAGGTGGTCCTGGGGGTGGAGCTAATCCAACGGGGAGGTGTCCTGGGGGCGGGGCTAATCTAAAGGGGCGGCAGTCCGGGCTAATCTAAAGGGGATGTGGTCCTGGGGGCGGGGCTAATCTAAAGGAGAGGCGTCCTGGGGGCGGGGCTAATCTAAAGGAGAGTCGTCCTGGGGGCGGGGCTAATCTAAAGGGGAGGCGGTCCTGGGGGTGTGGCTAATCTAAAGGGGAGGCGTCCTGGGGGCTGGGCTAATCTAAAGGGGAGGTGTCATGGGGCGGGGCTAATCTAAAGGGGCGGTGTCATGGGGCGTGGCTAATCTAAAGGGGAAGCGTCCTAGGGGCGGGGCTAATCTAAAGGGTAGGTGTCATGGGGCGGGGCTAATCTAAAGGGGAAGTGTCCTAGGGGCGGGGCTAATCTAAAGGGGAGGCATTAAAAACATTTATGTTACAAAAGATTCTATTTCAAATAAATTCTGTTCCTTTGAACTTAAAAAGAAGCCTAAAAAAATTGATCATGGTTTCCACAAAAATATGAACTGTTTTCAACATTGATAATAATCATAAATGTTTCTTGAGCATCAAATCATCATATTAGAGTGATTTCTGAAGGATCATGTGACACTGAAGACTGGAGTAATGATGCTGAAAATGCAGCTTTGATCACAGGAATAAATTACATTTTAACATATACAGTTATTTTAAATGGTAATAATATTTCAAAATATTACTGTATTTTTTATTTTAAAAAATGCAGCCTTGGGGTGAGCAGAAGAGACTTCTTTCAAAAACATTTTTTAAAAATCATACCGACCCTAAACTTTTGATCAGTATTGTAGGTAAGTTATGAATATGACAGCATGATGAGTGTAACGATGGTTGTGTGTGTAGAGCTCCTATCAGACGCCTCCTCCTTCCTTCACCCGTGAGGAGAGAATGCTGCACAAGAGCCTGGTTTATCTGTGGGTGTTGACGAGGTGAGACCGCTTATTTCCACACATTCATCTTTCTTTAACTCCTGCCGTCTCTAGCGTGTTCTCTTCTGTCCGCCAGTTCAGTGTCGGTGGCTCTGGGAAGCCTCACGCTGTGGCACGCAGTGCTGATCACCAGAGCAGAGACCAGTGTGGAGAGACACATCAACCACAGAGAGAGAACACGACTCAAGCTGAGGGGCAAAGTGAGACACGACACCACACACACATTTACACCAGCTAAGACAAGAGTATACAGCCTAAAAACTCAAGCGTGTCATTCCTGCTAAACACAGGTTACAAATCGATCAATAATAATAATAATATTAGTAATAATATATCTGGAAAAATATATATTATAATAATAATATATCTGGAAATTGGTTATTTATTATTTGTGGCAATGTTGTTATTATTAATATTGTTGTTATTATTATTATTATTGTTAAACCTTTTGGGTTTTAATTTTTTTGGTTTTCATTTTTGCTTTGAGATTAAGTTACATAAAGCTAACAACACAAAATGCAAAATCTGATAATATTATTTGATAACAATATTAATGATAATAATAACATTGTTACTAATAATAATATATTTGGAAACAGTAATTTTACTATAAGTAACAATTTTATTGTTATTATTAATGTTGTTGTTAATATTATTATTAAACTTTTTGGGTTGTAATTTTTTTTGTTAATCATTTTTTGGGTTTTCATTTTTGCTTTTAGATATTAAATTATATAAAACTAACAGCACAAAATGCAGTTGCAAAAATCTATAATAATAATATTTTTATTATTTCTCTTTTTTGGGGGTTTTCAGAGATGAAGTTCTATAAGAATGTAGTATTGTAATTTTTGAAGATGAACTCGACTCTGTTCACAGATTTTCCGTAATCCATACCACCATGGAATACTGAACAATTGGAGAAGGTTTTTTGGTGTTGAGAAACGGAGGTGAGATGTTTACCATATTTCTTTTTTTAAATGACTTTCCCCAATTTAGGTACAGGCAAAACTCAACTGTACAACTATTTCACAGTGAATATTTAATAATCAGCTTTTTATTGTCTTTCAGTGACTGGCTAACGCGAGTTCTGTTGCCCTCCGCTCATCTTCCTCATGAGGACGGCCTGACGTGGGACTGTCCTGCATACAGGAACAACACTGTGGTCATATGACGCATCACATGATCAGATCCGTTCATAACTCAGACTCTGACTGAAGGGGCTCTGCATCACCCTTGACCTTTAGAAATCAAGAACCGCTGACCTTTAGGCTGTCTTTTCATTTTTAATGTGTTTATGCTTCAGTGTGAGATCCTTGTGCCGAGTTCAAAAGTAGTTCTTGGTGCCAAAGACTTAATGTGAATGGGTTTTGGTGACATCTGTGGAATATTTATATTTTTTTAACTTAAAAGATTCACCTCAAATGGCGATCATGACGACACACGGGAATCTTTGAGCTGTGTTGATGAAACTGTTTTTCACCATGTATTTGAATGTCTAAACATTTCCAAAGTGGTCCATGCATTTTGTTGAATTGAAGTTAGTCAAACATTTGCTTTAATTTCCAAATGTTTTCGAATTAACACACTTTTACATATGAAATCCGTGTGTAGTTTTACTGCACCTGTACAGACATGCGATGGGCTCCAGAAGTCTGAGACTACTGGGGAAAAGAAATCTTTTATTTTTTTCTAATTACATTTCTCATTATAAAATATATTTTCGGTATTACAATTAACATGAATTTCAGGATGTTTTGGTATTTGAACTGCTCCCGGTTTGCTTTGATGCACCTCTTGCAAGTAATAACATGGTCAAAATGTAAAAACCTTTTTTAATTGGTTACTTAAAATTGTTACTGACTCTTATATTTATAAGTATACTTTTTCATTTCATAAATTTGTTTGAAAATTTTCTAATCCTAAAACGAAAAGGTTTCGGTAACACTTTACAACAAGGTCTCATTTATTAGTTAATCCACAAGTCGACATGCACTACTATCGAGAAATATATATTTTTAAAGTATTTATTAATCTTTGTTATCGTTAAACCATGAACAATTTTTTTAAATGTTAGTTTAAAGTGCATTAACGTTAACAGAAACAACTTTTGATTTTAAAAATGTTTATGTAGAAGTTAATTTTTGTAGAAGTATTGTCCATTGTTGACTAATGTAGTTAACACATGTAAATTAAATCTCAAGTATTTTCAGTTTCCCATGTTTTATTTTCATTTGAATATTTTCAGTATGTTCTCAGACTTCTGGATGAAATGTGAAATAAATGCAAGCAAGCTGAAAACATTTTGGTGTTATTGATGATTGTGTGATATTCAGTGTTTGTTTAACTACCTGAAATACGCAGGTCAGGATCATGTGAAGGCCAGTCCAGCACGTACTGTACAAAATGAACTGGTGTGATATAAAACATCAGGTCCAACTGGGAAATTACGACAGAGCACATTACCACAATCTGTACCTTTAGTTTTAAAAACACATTACGTTTGACTTCTTCCTTTGAAACGGCCCATTAATAACTAATTCACTGCTAAAGCTTCACAATCTACACATTTACAAAAAGTTTTATTGACAGGTTATTTGACATTTAAATATTGTTTATATTCTTGGCATCGGTTTTGTCAGTCTTGAGAAAATGAACAACAACCCAGCGTGTGGCTAATGAAACATCAGTTTAAAAATACTGACATCAGGACAGTCGTATCAACAGCACATTCAAAGATCCTGCATCTAACATTCCTATAATATGGACACGACGTGATTGAAGAAATGATAATAGCACACGATGCGCTGTGGCTTGTGTGTGTGTGTGATTTACTCTTGCCATCTTGATTCAGCGTCCGCTGTTGAAGGTCCAGCTGAAAAGAGCATCATTGGGGTTCGTGTTCAAGCACTTCTCGGCTGCCGACAGTTTGTTCAGCCATTGTTGTGGCCAGGTATGACAACCTCATGCCACATCATAAAAAAGGGGATAAGGAAGTAAAATCAAAGGCTGTGAGCGGTGATCTGAGGCGCATTCATCTGCTTATTTTCCCCCGGGGCTTCCTAACAAAAACCTATGGATGAGGAAAGCAATATTAGATGCTGTTTTTCAGTAGCCGCTTTTCCACTGTCGGGCCACTGCAAATAAACAGGGCCAATAGCCTCGGACTTCAAGCGCCGAGCCCAAAATCAAGTTGTGTTTCCACTGTTGGGCCAGTAGCCTCGCAGCACTAGCCCAAAACACGATATCTATAAATAAATGGATCTGTAAATCTATAGAACGACGTGAGCATGACCGAAGGTCTTTACTTAAGCTCAAGATTACAGCGTCGATATTTGACTAGTGTTTTATAATATATATATATTTTTTTACATTTTACAGTAATTTGTTAATGTGTCTCAGGAGTGCACATAAATCATGCTGAATCATTCTGGTATTTACCACTTCACATAAAAACAACACGTACCTATTCTTCAGGTTGCACCTTCCATTTATTTACAATCACAGGAATCCACAAATCAACTCCATTAAGGCTTTTAAGTCACACATTTAGAAAAATATTCATAAAATTTCACGTTTACACGTCACTTAAGAAAGAAAGAGTGAGCATTTCTATTAATTGTCCACAAAATGATGCGATCTCTCCGGTCTCACAACTATACGGTTATCCTTTCAGCCAGAGCAACAGAGGAAGCTCATGAGAAGAAAACGGGAGTTATGAGTTATACGAGTTAACCGAAGGGCATGACTATATGGATGCATTAGTCCGGTATATATTAACAAAGGCACAGGGAAGAGACCGATAAAACACCAAATAAATAAACATTATCATCATATATGATTTTTCTACATTCTTCAAGCAGTCTCTGGTTTTGTCCATGAACGCGTGTATGGTTAGCTTAAGTAGCATTTAGCATCGTATTTAAATATATTTCTGCCTCATACGGTGATCAGAATCCCCATCGGATCGCAAGGAAGTTATTTTAAATACTGTCTGGTGTCTCAAAGTGAATTTTGAGCTGAAAAATGTTAAAAATGTTGGAGTTAGCTGGTAGCCTGGTTAAAACCAGAGCATTCTCAGTTGTAACTGAGTTGTAACTGGGCGTCACCAACGGACGTCGCGGATAGACCTAAACCCAATCAGAGCGATGAAGGAGATGACGTATGTAGAGCGGCGGAGAAACATCTCCGAGTGTTGTTCTTTGCTCGGTTTTTAACTAAAAGGAAACGTTCAAATGGCTTAAAACAGACGCGATAGCTGATTGGAACGAGTGATGTTCGACGGCGGCATCCATCTTTGTAATGTAGGCTACAAAATCATGTTCAAAATCCCAGCGCTGTCGTCATCGTGTAAAGCCCGCCCCAACGTTTCTGATTGGTGCCGCGATTTCGACGGATTGGAAATGGGCTTGAATGAGCTCTTTGCCAGACTAACTTTCAGAGCAAATCTACATTTGCCGGAAGTTGTCTGGGTTTTCCCAGGCTAGTAGCCTGGTATAATATCATGGGAAATAAGCAGCGATGTTGACGGTCTCCTGACTCAGGTAAACTCTGTTCGTAACCACTCCTCAAGCCCCAGCTGGCCCGCTTTGAACCAAGGTATTTGGCGGGTCAAAAACCCCAGAGGAAGCCACGAAAGTGACGGTGGAAACGCGACTGGCACGCACTAGCACACTCGCTTTTGGCCCGACAGTGGGAACACGGCGTGTGAAACCTGCAGGGCTTGAATGTAACGTTACGTCTGCCTCACCATTGCCCTCGAGCCGCCACAGCCTCGTTCCTCACCAGCCTCTTTCTGTCATCCAGACACACAGCGAGAGCTTTCAGCACTCTGGCACGGAACGGCAGGATCTAAACACACAACAAAACTTATAAATGACACAGTCAAATCTGTGACTTTAAAGTCTTCTGGTTCTCATTGTGCATAAATCATCTGAGCACGTTATTATTCCTCCGGAGAACTTATTTACACATTGCAGCCATAACTTCAAATTATCAGCAGAAGTGCAATATAACAACATGTTTTTGTTTTGTTTTTTCAGGAGGAAAAGCTTAATTGTTTGGGATCAGTCTGAGATTAAGACTTTTATTCAACAAAGATTCATTAAATTAATCCAAAGTGTCAGTAAAAGCATTTATAATGTAATAAAATATTTCCATTTCAAATAAATCTGTTCTTTTGAACTTTCTATTAATTAAAGAATCCTGAAAAAAAGATACAACAAAAATATGAAGTACAACTGGTTTCAACATTGATAATAATCAGAAATGTTTCTTGAGCAGCAAATCAGCATATTTTAATCTGTAACAATATTTAATTCACAATATTACCGTTTTTATGGTATTTTGATCAAATTAATGTAGCCTTGATGAGCAGAAGAGACTTACAAGAGAAGTACAAAATCTTGCTGACCCCAAACATTTGAATGGTGTGTGTATATATATTTATATATATTAGTGCTGTCAAACGATTAAAATATTTAATCGCGATAAATCGCATTAATGTCATAGTTAACTCGCGATTAATCGCACATTTTTATCTATTCTAAATGTCTCTTGATTTATTTTTGTCCCATTATTTTTTCTCATTTTAATGCTCTTATCAACATGGAAAAGTGGATCGGCTTGCTTTGTGCAAATGTTTTTTATTGAAAACAACATTGGCATATACTGTGTTCAATTTCACACTAACATTCTCACTTGGAGCAAATAATCTCTCACACAATGTAACACTGTCCACCAATAAAAGGGTGAAAGAAATACTGACGAGGTCCTGATATTGACGAGGGGGCGTAGAATTCGCATCAGCTGTGTGTGTGTGTGTGTGTGTGTGTTTGGCCATCATCAAGTGGTATTTCAGACTGGACGTGCTGCGATGATGACAGCTCAGTTCACAACGACAAAACACACAGATCACTTTGGTCTCGTCAATGGGACCATTTGGCAACTTTTTAAAAGTAAACTTTCCATTCAGAATCTCATTGGCGTCCATTTCGGCGTCTCGCGCTCGTCATCCACTCAGAACGTAACTTTAAGCTACTATTTGGCCGGCTCGCAACAAGTGTGTGCGCCGTCGTGCCTGTTGTTTTGTTTCCGGTCTAGCTAGATCCGCTTGCGCTTTCAAAACGTCCTCGCGCGGCGCAAAGCCATTGAAATGAATGGGTTTCATAGCGCAGCGCCGCGTCCTGTTGCAAAACCATGTGAACAAAACGACAAAGTTTGCTAGGCCAAAAAGACCGTTAATCGCACGATAAAAAAATGAACGCCATTAAAATGGGTTTGTGTTAACGCCGTTAATAACGCGTTTAACTGACAGCCCTAATATATATATATACAAATTATTTAATTATTTTTCAGCCCTTGAAATCACAATTTAAAAAAAAACTGCCGATCAAAATATAATAATACATTTTAATGATTCATTTTTTTTTTTTTTTTAAAGTCAAATAAAATGCTCACCATCAATTAGCCCTAAAAACAGCTTCTCTTACCACATGTTCAGGCAGGCGAGAGAGAGCATGAACGCAGCGGATAGATGCAATTCTCACTTTCTGTCAGAGTGAAGATAAGGTCAAAATTAGGCAATCTGTGTCAACAGATGGACTAGGATCACATGCAGCTGCTCAGTGCAGTGTTAGGCGATGTACCATGTCAGGGCTGGTGGTGAGGGCCAGCATGCGTGAGAACAGCGCCTCCAGCTGGTTCCGGAGGGCCTCCGGGGGCTCCAGCAGCACCGGCTGCATGCAGGACAGGGTGGAGAACTGGACCTCTCGATCGGGACACGACAGCGCTTCCAGCAGGAGCGGCAGCAGCTGCAGGGAACAGCACAGGACACGCTCAACACACTGCGTAACACTCAACACATCTGAAAACAGCAGCAAGCTCAACTCACCGCAGGAAGCTCTGTGAGCTGCACCTCTCGGGGAAGGTTGTTCACGATGTGTGACAGGGCTTTCAAATAACAAGACTTCTTCTCTGTGGAGCAAGAGAAATTATTTACACAACCTGTCAAATGTTTTTTGGAAGAAGTCTCTTCTGATCATCAAGGCTGCATTTATTTGATTACAATTAATGTTATGCAATATTGTGAAATAAAATTGCAATCTAAAGTAACTGTTGTAATATATTTTGAAATGTAATTTATTCCTGTGATCAAAGCTGAATTTCCAGCATCATTACTCCAGTCTTCAGTGTCACATGATCCTTCAGAAATCACTCTAATATGATGATTTGATTATTAGTATTCAATTGTTAATAATGGTTCTTCTTATCTTATTCTTTTCAACATTGTTTATTGAGCAGCAAATCATCATATCAGAGTGATTTCTGAAGGATCATGTGACACTGAAGACTGGAGTAATGATGCTGAAAATTCAGCTTTGATCACAGGAATAAATTACATTTTAAAATATATTACAACAGTTATTTTAGATTGCAATAATATTTCACAATATAACTGTTTTTTACTGTATTTTTGTTCAAAGCCTTGCTGAGCATCAGAAACTCTTTCAAAAGCATTAAATGTTTTAATAAAATGTTGAGCAGAGGTTGTAGATGCAAAGCAAACAGAGTGATTTGGACATATCGGTGGTTAAGACAGGAAGTGGTAATGGAGGTAACCCTGCTCTGCTGAGTTGAAGCCTTCAACAAGTTTGCTTGAGTTTTCAGCAAAAAAGCGTTGTCTGTACATGATGCGCACGTCGGCGTGGCAGCTGCGGTTGAGCACATCTGGCGAGTCGCTCATGAGGACGCAGAAGCCATCGGCCGCCTGAGATCCTAACTCCGGGTCACTCAACAGAGCAAAGAGCTGAAAGCAGAGGACAGAGAGACACCACTCAAACACTGAACCTCGGAAAATAACAAAAAAACAAAAAAAACTACCTTGTCAGTGAGGGCTGTTGATAGCGGATGGTACCGTAACAGGAGAGCTTTGGCCACCTATACAAAAGAAAAAGTGTTTGAAAAACTCAGTGGTTCTTGTGCATCAAACAAGCATGTTTAAAGAGGTGGTTGATTATGATTTCACTTTTTTAACTTTAGTTAGTGTGTATGGTCGCTGTTTGAGCATAAACAACATCTGCAAAGTTTTGACGCTCAAAGTTCAAAGCAAAGGGAGATATTTGCTTTTAAAGAAATTGCTTTTTAGGGACTACAACAAACGGCTGGAATGGACTACAATTAGCTTCTTCACGGGTTAGTGACATCACAAACCCTAAAATTTACATAAAACCTGCCCCCGGGAACGCGATTTATAGACTAGATAGAAGATAGTTAACTCCACTTTTAACTTTTTACATGCTATAAAAAAATATCTGTGGGGTATTCTGAGTTAAAACTTCAAATACACACTCTGGGGACATCAGAGACTTATTTTACATCTTGTGAAAAGAGCATTATAGGACCCCTTTAAGCTTTTGTTTGCCATATTTGATGTGCTCTATATGTATATGTGTTGTTCAGCGTTTATATGTGCATAAAATCCTGCATTTAATCTGTTCAAAACAGTGGAACAATGGAAGAGACCGTTCAGAAATGAAAAAACTGGTGAGACTCTTGATTTGGTCATTACCCAGAGAAGCAGTGTGAAGGCTTGTGTTCGCTGGGAAGAGGAACCGTTCTCCAGCTCTACATTGATCCTCTTCAACACTCTCTCCAGCACTGCGTCAAGAGCTTCACCTGAACACACACACACAACATGCATGACATGCAGATCAGGTAAATCAACTCAAGCTCGTAGGGGTGTAATGATACACGTATTTGTATTGAACCGTTCGGTACGAGGCTTTTGATTCGGTTTTCGGTACGCATTTTTGAACCGAACGGTTAATTGGACCATTTTTCCTGCAGACCAAAATGTTGTTATTTTAAATGTAGGCACGTGGCGCGTGGCAAGCGCGCTCATAATGTAAGAGACGCTGGCGTGACCACAACATTGCCCAACATCAAATGGCAAATGTAATGTAAGCGGAACGAAACTGAGCTACTCGTTATTGTGTGTTTGACGGACCGTTTATCAGTTTGGACCAATGCAGCGCGAGCCGATCTTGATCATCAGCACTGTCACTACACAGAGGAATCCAGTAAAGAAAAAATTTGAATTCGCCACTGAAGTAATAGCATCGCTGCGAGATCTAGTGAGAAGCATTCACATTTCTCCGTTATTAACGGATCAAACAGCGCTGAAACCAGGAAGAAACATTGCGCCATGAATGAACTATCCAGTGTCCACAGATCAGCAACATTCACCATGGGTTTACTGTAGTAACACTACTAACTGTAACCATGGAAGTTTGGCAGGAATAGTAGGCTATAATGCTTTCAAGTAACATTACGTCGTTGTTACTTGAAAGCAATATCGGTTTTATTTTGACATTATGAATACAATTGCTGCCCTCAAATGTTAATCTGAACTAAAATAAACCTGTGTTTATAACTACAACAATATTACATTTGATTAAAATGGTTAAAAGGAGCTGTTTTGTTTTATATTCTCCTAAGAAAAGTCAAGTATAGCTCCATCATTGCTCAAAGTAAAAAAATATCATACTTTATGATGTTAGTTTTAATAAAAATACAATAAAAAAAATTAAATCAAGGAAATTTCTCTGGCATTTCTTTCTTTTTGATGTATCGAAAACGTACCGAACCGTGTATCATATCGCACCGAACCGTGAAATTTGTGAACCGTTACACCCCTACAAGCTAAAATAACCCATTCATTATTCCACTGACCTACATTGATAGAAAAGAGGCAGTGGTTCCCAAAGCTTTTGTAGAGATAAATACATAAAGACTCTCTCAGACATGACCTTGCATGCAAAATCCTGTAGGATTCATTTGAAACATTTTAATTAGTACAGTGTGACAAACTTTCAACTTCAATAGGCTTTTCTTTGTGTTTGTGATGGGTAAGCGGAGTCTTAACTTGTTTGGCTTCATACTAGGGCTGCACGATTTGGGGAAAATGTCATATTGCGATTAATGAGGTCAATATTGCGATATAATAAACAAATGGTTTCATGAGTCAACTTGCTTGGTTGCACAGTAAAATGCACAGATTAGTGATCATTCTTTGTAGTGTATTTCTCAACTCAAACTAGCAACAACAACTAAATGATTGATAACACCTATAATGATCAATAAACCATTGATATCATGTCTGGATAAAAATGACGACACCCCCCACATTTTAAACGTTAATTATAGCCATCCAACATTACAGTAATTCCATCAATATAATTGAAAGCTATCAACTTTTAAAATATTTATTAGGCTTAAAAAATAATAACAGCTTTTAAATTAAGTGAACTTCAAACAATCCTCACATAAACCCATAATAAATGCCATATTTACCTGTGCCCTTCCTGTCTTAACAGGTAGGATTGAGGATTTATAGGCTATACAGATTTATATACAGAAATTGAATAAAGTTATCAAACAGTCTGCGCTGCATGAATTATAAATTATATATATATATATATATATATATATATATATATATATATATATATAGACTAATCCTTATTAAACCCACAAAACTTCTTTAGTCAAGAGCAGTGAGTAATTTTCTGTTCCCTTTGTTCTTTGATTAACTTTACTGACGGAACGCTTTATTCGCTGCTGGCCCTTTAAGAGCAGCCGTTGCCGAGACGCGGATCTCACACGCGCCTCATTCTCTGACAAGCACAACTCTTTTTGTCCATCATAAGACTGCTCTTATGTTATGAAGATACTCGACAAAACGACATTTTGGCATAATTGTGTGTGTTATTGTTCGTTCAAGCTCGAAAGAGAACTGTATTCTGGCACGCGGTCTGTGCATGCGCATTATACTGGCGCGCGTTTTTCTGTGAGTCACATTCAGGACATTCACAGGCAGCGCGCTCTCTTTTGACTTCTTGTCGTGCAAAATGGTTAAGGCATTTGCACGAATAAGAGCGGGATCATGTAACACTAGTCAAATGATGACAAAAAAGAAGAGATGCTGTGTTCATATAAAATCGAGGCATTTTGCCTTATATAATCGCATACGTTTGACATCGCGATTACGATTGCGATTCGATTAATCGTGCAGCACTACTTCATACTGTCAGAAGTTCATTTTTTAAAACATGAAACACTGTGGTCTTTCTTCATTATCCCCCGTTGTACTGGTGAATCCGAGAGCGAGGCATGCCTCGTCATATTTTCTTGTCTTTAGGCGGTCTACTCTTTTAATACACTTTTAATATCAAGCATGTCCCGCAGTTTAGCAACAGTGGATTGCATTTTACAACGCTCACTTATCCGACTGATTTGGCTTAGAGAGGAACATGAATGTGGCAACAGCACAACAATCGCTTTACCTCGATTATCTTGTTTTCAATCGTTGGAAGTTGAAAACGATTAATCCCAACAGCCCTAGGTCATGTCGCACAAAATTCAGTGCATGTGGCATAGGAAGATGACAAAACCATCCTGTGTGTACCTGCCGGCCTCTTGTTGACCAATCCAGCGAAGCATTTCGCTGCAAACGTGTAGCAGAACAGGTGTGAACACGTACAGATCAGATCTTCCAACTGGACCAGAAGCCTGTCGATCTCAGGGACATCCACCTGTTGTGGAATTGATGAAATAAAAATATTGGAGGCTGGGTAAATGATGACAGAATTATAGTTTTGGGGGGAACTATCACTTTAAGACAGCCAGAAATATTCGGATTGCAATTTTACAGTTTGTATTTTTTAATAAAAATATAATAACTATTATTTATATTATTATAATAGTCATATTTAGAAACAACCATATTAGTGTTATTTTATTGTTAAACTGTGAAATAAAATAATGTTTATTGTTATTATATTTTTCTTAAATACTAGATTTTTTATTTTACAATGAAATGCGGCAGTGCGCTACCTAAACTGCGAAACCGGCAAACGGTGACAACGGAAGAAGACGATGGATCAAACGACGCTCATTCGAATTTCTACACTAATAAATAGAGAGAGCAGTATGAGTGAAAGTCATTTTGCCTACAAAAGTAATGAGAAAAGTAAAGAAACCGATCTCAATGCACCACTCTGCAAACGGGGAGGCAACACATCAAATCTGCCGAAGCACTTGACAGTTGCTCATCTTGACTTGTTCAAAGAGTTCAGAGATCGACAGGTTAGTCCATCATTCAACTGATTTAATTTAGACTTTTATTGAACAGCGCACATATTACGAGCTTATCAATTATATATGATACGGTAAACACAAAGGCTCAAATCTGCTTGCATGACACGCTAGAACCAATTAAGTTTAGGTCTCATAATTTTTGCACTTTCAAACAAACATATTAATTGAATTTGAATGAATAAAGAATAAAAATTTGAATAATATTAATTTTAGTATTAGTTATAGTAAAATGAATGGCATATTAGTGCCGCTCTGGCGCGCGCAAGAGAGAGAGAGAGAGAGAGAGTTAATATGAATATTACTAATATTACAATTAAGCTATATTTGTCAACATTCATTAGGTAACCTGACCTAACAGTATTATAGCATTTATTAATCTATATCAATCAGTAATTAAATGACCTAGAAAATTAAATATACTAATACATGTTTAGAATGTTAACATTACTTGCAATGCATTAATATGAACCCAAACAGTAACCAAACCAAGATGAATAAATGCAATTTTTTTTGATAATTCTCTGTTGATGCATGACAGCTAATGGTTTACATGTCATTTCATTATTCTATTATTATTATTATATGTTAATCTATTATTATAGATATTAACCTATTTTAAATGTATAATTTCAAGGGGTTTTTTTTGTTTTTAAAATCAAAATTTAACCTACTGTATGTTCCCTGACTGAATTATTATTATTTATTTTGTTACATTTTGATACATCTTCTTTGCACATTTGGTAGTGGAGAGTTTCAAGGAGTGTTTTTTAAGTGTTACTTAAATTTTGAGACCGTTTTTTTTTTTTTTTACCTGCGGTATCGATTTAGTATCGATACCGAGGTATTAGGTTCTGGTATCGTACCGAAGCCAAAATTGTGGTATCGAGCCATCCCTACTATACAGCAAACTTGTAGCTTTTTTTACATTTTAAGTTGCATTTTAAAATTTAAGTTGCATTTTAAAAACTAATTGTGATTTTTATCAGAAAAGAGAATAGTGCAGCCCTACGGTAAAGAGCTCGTTTGAAAACCCCTGTCCTTAATGAATATTGTGATGAGAGTGAGATAAGAGTTTAACTTACGCTGCGTGGAAGAGAGCAAACACAGGCCATCAGCAGACACACCAACTGAGACGGACCTCGACACTCTGCCTGGCTCTGTGGGAAAAGCAGACACAAACAAACCCGAGAATCATCCACAAACACTTGCTAAATTATGGGAGAACGTTGAGGAGATACTGATGATCCGAGAGACATTAGACCACCATTCACAACTCTCCCAGAACAGAATCTCTTAGTGAAGTCGAGCTCAGTTAATCTGGATTAGCAAATGTAACCCTGACTGTTGAGCGTGATTTATCTTGTCACACACCTGGAGCAACTGGATTTGGGAAGGGAAGGCATTCTCTGGCAGAAAGGACACATCTCCATCCAGGAACAGAGAAACAGCCTGGGCCGCCATGCGGGACGCTGATCTAGAAGAACACAAAACAATAAGGCTTGTATTCGAAAATGTGTATATTTTATAATTAGGGCTGGGTTAATCACAATGATTAATCTATTTTAATATATCTTAATTTTGATTCAAGGTTCTGTATGTAACTTTTTGACTGTATTAAAGCACAAAAATACCATAATATGTTTGCAGATATTTAGGAAACATTCCAAGTTCACATTCTTGTTTCTCCGAAAAACACTTCTACAGCCAGTTACTCTACTTTTGAAATATGCGATCAGTGTTGGAAAGTCCGTTTTTGTTTTTGTCTGCGCTTGAACGGACAAAAACACACAAAATGATGCCAAAATGCCAGTTTTGTCGAGTATCCTCGCAAGTACAGTCTTAAATGAGTTAAATGAAGTCTTAAATGTAGTAGAGTTGTGAGAAAATCCGCGTCATGTGCGTCAGATCTTAAAGCTTAAAGCATTGTTTACAAGGTTACATGGGTCAAAAACAATAACTTTTTGTGCATTTTGACAAGGCAAGTAAAAATCTGAACCGGTCACACTGGGCAAATAGAAAAAAATTGAGGACAGATATATTGAAGGGCAGGTAAATGTGACATTTATTATAATGGCTTTATGTGAAGATTGTTTTAAGTTCACTTAATTCACAAGTTGTTTAAATGTGAAATTATTACAATATAAAAATATTAGGGCTGTCAAATGATTAATCGCATCCAAAATAAAAGTTTGTGTTTACATAATGTATGTGGGTGCACTGTGTATAATTATTTTGTGTATATATATATATATAAATACACACACATGCATGTATATTTAAGAAAAAAATATTATTTATATATAAAATATTTGTATTTATATAAAATCAAAATTATATATAAATCTATATACAGTATATACATGAAAATATTTATTAAATATATACAAGCATGCGTTTGTATTTATACATATAAAATATTTATACACAGTGCACCCACATATATTATGTAAACACAAACTTTTATTTTGGATGCGATTAATCGCGATTAATCATTTGACAGCCCTAAAAATATATTAAAAAACGTTAAATGTTAGGTGCGATTGAATTACAGAAAAATTTGAGTAATTAGTTAATTTTTTTAAGTGACCGGCAGCACTAATTCAAATGAATTAATAATGTAATTGGTATAGACTCAAAAGCTTGTAATCAGAATCAAAATGAATCTTGATTCTTGACATTTTCAATACCCAGCCCTAATTTTCAGTATACATCTGAAAATCACATCAGTCACATAATATAATATATAATTGTGACTCACTCTGATTGTAACGCAGCACAGGCTGTGCTGATGACCGGAACTAAAGCAGAAAGAACGGCTTCATCTGTGAGTGGACTACTGTGACCTGTTGAACAAACCCACAGTTACATCTACAAACAGCACACACACTAACACACACCAGAAAATCATGACAACCACTGACCTGAGTCTCTACTCTGCAGCGCTGCCTGTAAGGCCAGTCCTAGAAGTCGTGGAATGATGTTGCTATGAAAGAATCGTCCGATCTCCTCAGTGTCGCGTGCGTGCGCTGCTATCCGCTGCAAACTGATGCATACAGCGCTCACTTCCTCCACGGAGAAACTGCAGCTACCTGAAAGATGAACAACATGTTTCTGCATTAGTATATTAGCTACTGTTTTTCACTGTAAAGCTGCTTTGAAACAATCTGTATTGTATAAAGTGCTATATAAACTAAGGACTTAACTTTGTATCAGAATTAAATAATCCATAAAGTACAAGAAACTGTGAGATACTGCCAAATGTATTATTGACCAATCACCAAACAGAACAGGAACAACCAGATTTATAATATGTATTATTACAGTGTTCCCCAGTAATTACCACTAATCTGTACCGCCAGATTCATAATGAACCGAAAATATTTTTATACTTATCATTATGTTTTGCACTGTTGCTTTAGCAAAGTATCTGTCAATCGAACAAGGTGTGATATGGCTTGGTGCACTTAAATCACAAAATGCTGTGATATCATATTATTAATACATAGTCTGACCATTCAGAGTGAAGCATATCACTGTGTTTACTTGTGTTTTTGGGAACGCAACGTGCTCCACTTTATTTTTACAGTTGCCAATCTTTAACATTTTGTGTACCTACTGATATAGAAACTGATAACAGTCCTACAGTTTTCAGCCAAAATAAAATAAATTAAACATCAGATTATCGTTTATCTTCCAAACACAAATTATATTTTTAATGAAACCTAAGAGATTTCTGGATTTCTGTCCTATTCCCTTAAAACTAGAAAGATCCTAAAAAAAAGGTCAATTTTCTTTTTACTCAGATCAGGTTTTAAGGTTCTCAGATTAAGGTTTACCAAAAGGTAGTGATGGGCGCTTTCGAAACCTTTAGGAATCTTTTTGTTTTTACGAATCAGTGTTTCGGAGCGTGCATCAAACTGCCAAAGTCACATGATTTCAGTAAACGAGGCTGTTACGTCATAACGGTTTCGAAAAGTTGAATGATGCGGATTCACTGAGATCGCCCCCCAACCTTTAAACAAGTGTTTTAACTTTCTGCCTGACCTCTGATCAGTTTTATACATTTGTGGACATTTTAATGAGACATTAGTATAATCAAAATGAATAATAGTGGTTATTAGTCTCTTATTAGCCTGTTTAGCTGAGCGATCCATTGAACAAACAAAACAAGCGATAAAATAACACATTATACAGACACTTGATATTAAATCTTATTAGATGATTAATCAATTGCATTTGATCAAATTTACTTTCAATAAAACATTTGCAATGTGTTTGTAAAAAATGTTTTTATGCATGTTTGGCATGAGTGTGTTGCATTTCCACTGTTCTGACCAGTAGGGTTCAACAGCGTGTGGAGTTTCGAACACTTCGAAACAGTGAATCATTTTACGAAGCAATTGGTTCAATTGATTCAAAGCTTTGAAAAGCTTCGTTTCTCCCATCACTATAAGCTAAACATTGTCATAATTCATCAAAAGTAGATCATAAGCATATTTGATTACGAACTGCTCTGAAACCGCGAGCCCGTAGAATGAGCGCTCAATTATGATTTCACTTTTCTAACTTTAGTTACGAAAAGTACTGATAGGGACTACACAACATTCCTCCCGGGGTTAGTGACATCACAAACCCTAAGATTTACATAAACCCCACCCCCGGAACACGATTTATAGATTATCAAGACAGATTATGCTAATCAATGACTAGAAGATAACTACACATCAGCTACATAAATTCATCAACTAACCAATCAGAAATGTTGTCTACATGTTGTCACTTCTTCTTAAGTCTCTCCATCTTTGTCTGACTCCTGGTTTGAACATAAAAGGCTAAAAGTTTTTGAAATGTTCAGTGCTTGTCTGTGTGAGTGCACGCTGTTGTAGCTCCGCCCTCTGTGCCCGGAGCAGCAGCTCATTTCCATTTAAAGGGACAGACACAAAAATGGTGCGTTTTTGCTCACCCTCAAAAAGTGAACATTTTAACATGCAATATAAAAATATCAGTGGGGTATTTTGAGCTAAAACTTCACACTCTGTCTGGGGATATCAAAGACTTGTTTTACATCTTGTGAAAAGGGCATTACAGCTTCAAATAATAGCCTTTTGAAGTTTAATAATCACATTAAGTCACAATGATTCCTGTTTTTCTGATCCGAAATTTAAGACCTCTTGAAATGATAAATAAGACTTTTCTTATTCCATTTAAGATATTTAAGACTTTTTATGGTCTTAAATTTGATACAACTGAATAAAGGACCCGAGGGGACCCTGACAATTTTTCAAAAAAGATTATCAGAATGAATGTGTACCTGTGTGTGCTGAAGCCAGCACCTGTAGCAGGACGGGGGTGCTTTCCTGCACAACACTGAGCTGAGACGACACAGACGCTACCGCCGTCACACACCGCAGGCGGACAGCTGCGTTAGACTCTGTAGAGGAAAGTAGTCCCAGATTATCTGTTAAACTGCAGTGTGTGTGGTGTGTGTGCGCGCGCGTGCACTGGGTCTCACCTGATAAGATCTCTTCCTTGAGTCGAGGAATCATCCTGGAGATGAAGGCTTTGGGATGCAGATGAGCCAGAGAGCCTGAACACTCCACTACAGCCGAACTGAGAGACAGAAATGTGGGATAAGCTCTCAAGGAATAATTCAGATAAAGATGTAAACACATTACAGATATCCTTCCTCTCCTATGATCTCCCGTGAGCAATAACTACCTCACTTGAGTATCTTCTTCCTCCAGAATGAGTCTGGTCAAATGATCAACAGCTTTCTCAACATCTGCCTGAGCCAACAAGCCTGTGAGGAGCAAAACAAGAGTGACGTAACACACACCATGAGCATGTTATCCTTTGACCGCCCACATTTATTTGGTCTTCAGAAACGAAATAAATAAATAAACCTTATACATACAAGTTCATTTTCTATTCATGAAATGCATATTAAATACAATGAATATAAAATGTTTACAAAGGCTGCCAATTTACCAATTTGATTAAAAAAAATACAATATTGTGAAATATTACAATTTAAAAAGAAATTAATTTTCTATTGTAATATATGTTAAAATGTAATTTATTCCTGGATTTTCAGCATCATTACTCCAGTCTTCAGTGTCACACGATCCTTCAGAACCTATTCTAATATGATGATTTGCTGCTCAAAAAAACATTTTGATTATTACTAATGTTAAAAAAAAACAGTTGTACTGCTTCATATTTTAATGGAAACCGTGATATATGTTTTTCCAGGATTCTTTGATGAATAGAAAGTTCAAAGGAACAGCATTTATAAATCTTCATAACATTATAAATCATTTTAGATCAATTCAATGCATCCTTGCTGAATTAAAGTAGTAATGTCTTTCAGAAATGTTGTGTGTCCACTCACAGGGCTGCTGTCCCAGTGCAGTAAGCACACGTGTGGCTGTAACCTGTAGACCAGCACTAGACTCCGCCAGCGCAGAAAACACCACGCTGCACAAAGACTGCTGAAACGCAACCAACACACTCTCCACTGCGTACATGCAGGAAACAGAGAGAGAAATGCACCAACACTGAATATTAAACAAACATTTAAAATTATATTAAACTAGCTAAGACTCTTTCCACCAAGCATGCACATAAACAAAGTTGTAAAATGTCTTATGCATGTTATCTGGTCACATACCTCCATCTGCAGGCCGGCTGAGCGGGGTGGGCTGAACGAAACCCTGCAGAACCTCCAGCAGGGTGCGCCGCTGAGCACACTGTATAAAGATACGCTCAAATTAATTATGCATTACAGCACAGTGTGCTTGTGTAAAGACACTGGCTCATTTCTGAATATATATGCAGCAGGACTTAAAGCACTTATGAGCACATGTTGAGAAAATAAGCCATGTGCAGAGACTATTGCTTTAAAGGGGTCATATAATGGCACATGCACTTTTACAAGTTGATTGTACTGAAATGTGTGTTGGCAGTGCCTGTACACAAACATCATATAATGATAAAAATCCATCCAGTGTTTTTGTTTTAATCTCCTTATATGTTTTCCCCTGCCTCAAATTGAGCCGTTCGTTTTTGTGACGTCAATAAAATGGACGCCCCTCCCACGATTGTTGATTGACAGCCGGGTTTCAACACAGACCCGCCCTCGCTCACGAGCGAGCTGTCAATCATAGTCTGCGTGGACCGGACCGGACCGGCGCGGTCATTGTTGATATGCTGGAGCACTGTCTATGAGCAGAATGGCGTCTAAGCGATTGTGGTGTTCTGTTCTTGGGTGTAATAACGAACACAGCAGTCATTTTAATGTTCCTAAATCCGAACCGCTGAAGACGCAGTGGCTGAGTTTGTTTTCGAAGGGAATATTCCCCACGAGCAACGTCAATGCTTTCATATTTGCGCAAATCATTTCACACACCAGACTGCTTATAAACGAGGAGGGTCAGTATAAAGCTGGTTTTGCTAAGAAGTACCAACTATTCGTGTTCCTGCTGAACCTCCAAAATAACTGAAGTGAGTGTATCGTTTTATTAATCTTTAATATTTATATTAATCTTTGCAAATCGCTAGATGCACGCTTCACAATGAATGCGTCTAAGGTTTACACTCAGGGTACATTACGGCATGTTTTCTATGTACGACGTTCTCAATATAATTCATAATCCCACATCTATACTGAACAACGCGTTATGGTTATTGTGTTATTGTGTTACAAACGGTGTACACAGAACAGAGAGGCGGGGTGAGCAAAGCTCATTATCATTTAAAGTCATATGCACTGAAACGGCGTGCTGAAAACAGAGCTGTTTTTGACCAGGTAAAATAAGTGTTTTCTTACAATACTAATGAGAATTTCTAATTAAAGTATATTACAAAGTTTTAATTTAGACTCTAAAGAATCATATTAGCTTGTACAAAAATGGCATTATATGACCCCTTTAAGAGACTACCTGTGTCCTGTTATTATACTGCTCCAGGAGGGCCGGTATGACCGTAGCCGACACTATCAGACTCGCTCTGTATGAGGCTCCGGCGGCGGCCTGCAGGAGTTTGGTACTGGGCCACACCAGCTTCAGGTCTGGCTCGCAGAGATGGTGCTGACAGTCTGAGAGGATGAGACACACACAAAGTGAGATGGTAGAACAAGCCTGGGCGGCACTGATACGCGTGTCGAGACGATAGTTATGAGTCTGATCAGACTTCTTTGTCTGGATAATTAAAGATGAATCTATTATGCTTTTTTACATCTGTCTTCAGTGTGTAATGTTGGTGTTTGAGCATGAAAAATGTTGCAAAGTTTCAAAGTACAAGGCCCCCCAAAGAGAATAAGGGCGTTTTCACACCTGAAAGTCCGCACCAAGGTCCGAACCAAAGTTCACGTTTTGATACATTTTATACTTTAAGAAAGTTTTGGTTTGGTTTCACACTGGAATTATGCGAGCGCACTAAAGGACTTTACGTGACACACTTGCGTCCTGTCGTCATCATCTATGTGGGCTGCATCTTGACATTGATTGGTTTGTAAATGGACGTGCGTCTGACGTCAGCGTGTTGTCAATTCGGCGGGTAACTTTGACAACATGAATGAACAGACGCATATCGTTGCAACTATATTGTTATTTTTATGGCATAATTACCTGCAGCACCAACTATACACCAGGCTAGTTCAATTTCGCCAAATGAAGGTCCTCGTCATGCGAACATTTTATCGTCGCCGGCAGGAAAGGAAGAGAAGACTGCAAGTTGACTTCTTCTTATGTCATCAGACCATACTTCAATTAAAAACCTCGTCTCCTCCTCTCCCCATGTGTTACACGGCTCATTTTTCCTGCCAACTTCTGTTTTTTCGGCTATGCGGGAACCACCGGAGCTTCCTGTAAAAGGTCTGAAAGTCCGAACCATACAGAAATGCTTTCACACTAGAAACGAACCAAACCTTTGTTCAGTTTGATCCGGACCGAGACTACCTCTTTTTGTCAGACCAAATTTCATCTGTTTGGTTTCACACCTGTAATTTTGATTCGGACCAAACTGAAAAGTCAGAAAGTCCGGACCAAACAAGGTAGGTGTGAAAGGGCCCTTATTCTCTATATCAGTGTCAGTGTTTCTGAACTCCCTGAAACGTCTCCATTGTAGTCTTGAGTTTTGTTCCCGGGAATGAAAACGTCACAATATTCCTCATTTAAATAATTAATATGCAGAATAAAGGGGTGGGGCCTGGTTGAGTTAGTTAGTAGTGTGTTAAACTGGTGGTTATGGTAAGGGGCGGGACATTTCCAAACAGCCTCAAAGTGCTTGACCAATCACATCACACAACTCCAGCCGACCAATCAGAGCACAGTGTGCTTTTCAGAAGGAGGGGCTTCATAGAGACAGGAACTAAACAGAACGTTACTGACAGACTAGGAAGAGAGGAGCCGCAACAATGGAGAATATGGGGAAAATAATGTGTTTTTTCAACACATGCATGAAAACTTATTCTACAAGACTTTGTAAAAGGGCATAATATGGCCTCTTTAACTTGTTAGCCAGGAATAATCATCCAAAGATGTGCTCATTCATAATTTTGCACGATCAGATATTTTTACTCTTTATGTATCATTCTTACATTAAACCAACGTACTACTAAGAGAACATCCAGACATGTTTGAGTCCACCATTTGCAGATACCTTTGAGGACGAGGTTTAGAAACACCTGCAGGGAATCCTCAGAGTCTGAACTGAGCACAGAACGGGACAGACTGGACGTCAGCGCCCCGAGAGCCGACAGACCGGCTGATTCCACCCTCTCACTGGCCGTCTGGAACACCTGCAACCAGGACATGAACTCAAAGATCACATATACTACACAGCAAAGATGTCATGCTTATGCCACGGACACCCAGATATAACGACCCCCTCCCTGAAATTAAAAAGTCAGCAATATGCTTTCATGTATAAAGACCCACTTATCCTGTGAAACAATTTATTTTTTATCTGGAATACATAAGAAAAATGTATTAAATATTATCTGGGAAATACCATCTATCAAGTTGACACTATTACTGAAGGAAATACTAATAACGTCAAATTATACATATTTACAATATTTTAATTGATTTATTATTTAGTAATTAATAATTTAACTTATTTATTATTATTATATTTATTTATTATTTTTTACATCCAAAAACCCTAGTTTGAAAATCCCTGTGAAATACAGTGTCCCTAAGTGATTGTATCCACGATTTGATCGAAGTGGAACAAAAAAAAGTTTGTATACGTAACAGCTATTTTTTAGCTACAGCAAGATAGAGAAACTCTTTAATGTATTGTATTGCAAGTAATAACTCACTTCTTAAGTGGAAGCACCTTTTTTTTAATAACTCACAGTATTCGGTACTTGCACATTCAAGCTTTTCAAGCAATAAATCCATGTGATTTTTTTCCTGCTTATCAAGCATATCACAGATCATATTCGATCTGTGCCACATGGGAGGAAAAATAAATAAATCGTAATTGGGTCACTTGAACCATGTAATGTAAATGCAGCCTTTGTCCAAACCGGCCGTCGACCTGAAATGACTTTCCTGGAAGCTTCGGCATTACACAAGTAATTTGAAGCTTCAAATCTTGGCATAAAGTGGTGGGAAAAGTGTTGTACAGAGCAAACTAATATGAGAAAAGCACCTGTGAGTTCCTGCATCCATTGTTTTATGCTGTTCTCTCTTACCTCTCTCCGTATCGAGCTCCAAAGGCCCGGGAGGAATTCTGCCAGCTCTTTATGGCTGTATGTCAGACCACAGGCGGCCTAAAACAGAAGAATAGTGTGCAGTTTATTTATAGCACAGGAAACTAACACATATTTTCTAGGTAACACTTTAATTCGATTGTCCACTTTAGACATTCCACTGACTAGAAGTAACTTTGCAAGTACAAGTGTCAACTTATTCTAACAGCCCTACCCATAACTTAACAGTCTACTAATACTCCATTGACAGTTAGTAGAATGTCTAATTGGGACTATCAAAATAAAGTGTAACCGTTTTTTTTGTTTTTTTTAGAAGATATTTTCAGCCAGAGCAACAGTAAAGCATTGGGCTAGCAATGCCAAAGTCATGGGTTAGATTCCCAGGCAATGCATGAACTGATTAAATGTATAGCTTGAATACAATGCAAGTTGCTTTGAATAAAAGCATCTGTAAAATGCATAAATTTAAATGAAAGCTATATAACAGTGGTTCACATTTCTGCACTGTCATCGAGGGGGGGAGGGGGTGGGGGATTATACCTAACCATATAATCATGCATAATGCTGTACTAGATTCAAATTGTCTATATCAATAAAATTGTCTTTTATTATCTAAATAATAAAAGAGAATATGAAAGTTAGTCAAACTAAGCAGACATGTCCTCTTTCTTGAAAATTATGATATAAAAATGCAATTATTTTGTACAATAAGCTGATTTTTGGTACTGTGTTGGGTCATGATGACCAATGTAAAATCTCAATCCTGTGAGTCTGTACCAGTGTCAGCAGGGAGTCCACTTTGGCACTCTGAACATCTGAGTCCAGCTTCTCAATGATCAATGGTAACAGAAACTGTCAAGGAAAGGATACAAAACACAATAAACAAACACACACAAAAGTTCCATTCATTGAACTATTTGCATAATTCCCAGTCTATTGATACACACAACCATTGAGTATAATCCCAAACAAAGGCTTATTGAGTTTGGGTCCTACCTCAGCAAACCGAGACGTCCCAGTAAGAACATTTCGTAGAGAAAGAATAAGATCTTCCTGTGTGATCCCATGAGGATCATTGGGTGGCTGAGAACAGACAGAGGAACAGTAATAGAAATTCAGTTTGACATGACAAGTCTCAAAGAGTTTGATAGCATGTTCTAGAACTGCACGGTTAATAGTTAAAAGATCGTGATCTCGATTCAAACACCCACGTGATCTTATTCCTAAATGGCAGCGATTCGGCTATATGTGTATTAAACCTTTGAGAAGAAGCCTATGATCACCGCGAACATTCAGATCTGCGTTGGCGCTGAGCCAGAGAGAACCGTTGTTATGTATAGGTATTTTACAACCACACAGTATCATTATTTCAAATTATTAGTTATCACAGAAGTAAAATTTTAGAGTTCAGAAAATATTTCACCAACAAGTTGAAGAAATTATAACGAGGAAACATGTTAGATAGAAGTACTTACAGGGCTAAAGTCTATGGGAAAATAACAGGACGTCACTTCAAAGAGTTCCTCTACAAATTTACCTGAAAAAACAAAACAAAAAAAAGGTGATTTGTCAAATAAATATCAGAATTTTTTACATCAAATAATATGTTAATATTAATACAATTATTTTTAAAAATATTGTATTAAAATATTTTAAACAAAAAAAAAAATTTTATTCATATTTTACTATACATGAATTGCCTTCATTGTATCTGTAATTCCGTTCTGCACTAACCGAGATCGTATCCCCTGTGAATGATGTTCCTGGCCACCTGGAACGCCAGCAGGAGGTTACGAGGATCTCGTTCTCCATCTACTGACTGCACAAATCCAAATGTAAAGTCTGCACCCAAACCTTTGAGCTCTGTGGAACAAGAGATATTTGAGGACTGGTCAGATAGTTTACACTGGTGCTGTTCCAGCTCTTATAAATACAAACAATGTAAAGGCATTAATATAAAGGGTGAGAAAGACACCGTACCTTCCTCTCTGGACTCCATAAGGCTGATGAGGATGTTGTAAACACATGATCGCTCCGCCAGCATCAAGGACTGTAGAAACAAGTTAGAAAAACAAAACCATGGTTTGTCGCTTTGTCTTTAAAATGGATTTCTGTCTAGATACTTGTGGAATAAGGATGTCAATCGGCCAGTGTTCACAACATTGGCATTGGTGCAATGATTGAAATATGCCAATGACGTAACATTACATATCATTTAACTTAGCAGATAATACAATTTCAAGAATTACAATCAGTTATTTACCATTGTTTCCAAGAACATATTAATTTAAAACTTTAATAGTCTCTTTTGCTCACCAAGTCTGCATTTATTTGATCAAAAATACAGTAAAAACTGTAATATTATATTTTAAATATAATTTATTCCTGTGATCAAAGCTGAATTTTCAGTCTTTAGTGTCACATGATCCTTCAGAAATCATTATAATATGCTGATTTGCTGCTCAAGAAACATTTCGGATTATGATCAATGTTGAAAACAGTTGCTGCTTCATATTTTTGTGGAAACAGATTTTTTTTTTACAGGATTGTTTGATGAAAATATTTCAAAAGAACAAATAGAATCTTTTGTGACGTTATAAAAAATGTTTTTACTGGCACTTTTGATCAATTTAATGCATCCTTGCTGAATAAAAGTATTAATAAAAAGTAGGGCTGTCAGTTAAACGCGTTATTAACGGCGTTAACGCAAACCCATTTTAACGGCGCACATTTTTTTATCGTGCGATTAACGGTCTTTTTGGCCTAGCAAACTTTGTCGTTTTTTTCACATGGTTTTGCAACAGGACGCGGCGCTGCGCTATGAAACCCATTCATTTCAATGGCTTGCGCCGCGCAAGGACGTTTTGTTGCTTCGTCGACCAAAGCGCAAGCGGATCTAGCTAGACCGGAAACAAAACAACAGGCACGCCACACACACTTGTTTGGGCTCGCGAGCCGGCCAAATAGTAGGTTAACGTTACGTTTTGAGTGGATGACGAGCGCGAGACGCCGAAATGGACGCCAATAAGATTCTGAATGGAACGTTTACTTTTAAAAAGTTGCCAAATGGTTCCATTGACGAGACCAAAGTGATCTGTGTGTTTTGTCGTTGTGAACTGAGCTGTCATCATCGCAGCACGTCCAGTCTGAAATACCACTTGATGATGGCCAAGCACACACACACACACACACACACACAGCTGATGCGAATTCTCCGCCCCCTCGTCAATATCAGGACCTCGTCAGTATTTCTTTCACCCTTTTATTGGTGGACAGTGTTACATTGTGTGAGAGAATATTTGCTCCAAGTGAGAATGTTAGTGTGAAATTGAACACAGTATATGCCAATGTTGTTTTCAATAAAAAACATTTGCACAAAGCAAGCCGATCCACTTTTCCATGTTGATAAGAGCATTAAAATAATGGGACAAAAACAAATCAAGAGACATTTAGAATAGATAAAAATGTGCAATTATTGCGATTAATCGCGAGTTAACTATGAAATTAATGCGATTAATCGCGATTAAATATTTTAATCGTTTGACAACACTAATAAAAATGTTTTTACTGATCCCAATATTTTGAACAATAGTGTAAATATATCATTTTTGAGGCAGGATCAGTGAAAATATGAACTTCTAGCTGACTAGGCCAACTCCATGCACGCATTTACTGTTGAGTCGTGACATCTTCTGAGTGGAGTGTATTCGTTCATACTAAAATATTCACCTGAACATGAACATCCTGAAAGATGGATCTCAAAATGGACACAGCTGAACCAGGAGGCAGAACTGAGCATTTCGTCTGAAAGGAATCAGATGCGACCAAAAATGAGAAATATTACGGTGACCATAACAGATCATTAATAACATGCTCGTTTGATTGCAAAAGAACACCGACTTACCAAAGCCTTGAGTCCCTGGAGAACATGTGGAGTGATCACATAGTGATCCTTCAGTCTGTTTTCATAGAAAGCTATCAGGACCTCCACTGCAAACAAAACATGCGTGTGAGATGTCAAAAGGTCAAAGGTCATTTAGACCACCATGATCAACCCTCTCTACGGACACACTGAAGCTCAAGTCGCCAGTGGCTAGTTCCTTTTTTATTTCACTCACCAGACTTTTTACAATGCAAGAACAATGCAAATTAAAAAATGCATTTAATATACTATACATACAATATAAATTTAAAACACTATTAAAGTCTGTAATAAAATAAGAACAAATAGTCAAACTACAAGCAATAGCACAAATAAACAACAGAACAACAAAGATGCAAATTAAATAAACAGTGCTTTTCATATTTGTCAGGTGCAGAATTTGAATAAAGGAATTAAATGTAAAATCACACAGCATAGTCTTCACTCTGTATAAATTAAATTTAGATAAATCCAAAAGTTACAAAAGTTATTCAGTCAAGAGCATTGAGTGATTTTTGCTGCAGGTCTGTTGTTTGATTAACATAAAAATCACAGACAGGAATATTAGACTGCTGTCACTTTAAGATATAATGTACGAATCCAATACATAGTTCCTACATGACGTCACAACATACGGGCATTTGCCGACCCGGCGCCATTTCTGTGGGCATGTTTCGGGCAGAATATTAGAAGAAGAAGCTGAAACGAGTTAATTTCGTGATAAAAAGTGAAAATGGTCATCTCCTGCTGGGTCAATGGATGTTCAAATCGTGCCGGAGGTTCAGTTAAATTTGGATTTTACAGTATACCCGTCTTTAGACTTCATGAATGTGAGAAGACTAAGCTTTTGTCAGAACAACGACGGAGGTTATGGCTGGCGAGGATAATAAACAAGTTAACACTTTGCAGTTTGAATGATGTCCTGTATGAACATAATGACGCGGTATTAAAAACAACATTGTTTCCACTGTTCGATCGCGCCTGCGCCTCTCTCTCTCTCACACACACTCCAGCATTGCAATCTCAGATTATGTCCCTAAAGAACCCGTGTATAAAGTAGTTCCGCATTACATTAATTAATTTGCATGCGAGTTTTATTTATTTTTATACCATGTATATTCATGCACTGAACCGTGACGCCCGTAGAGTTCAATAGGAATACATGTACCGTTCCAACCCTATTCTTCAGTGTACAAATAAGTACATGCATATTACAGAAAACACCGATGCCTGTTTTAAGGGGAACAGGAATTAAGTTGTGCAGGCTATGGCTTTTTAATAGACAGATAGTCTAGCATCACGCTACATACATTCGCTATGATGACTAACGTTACTTTTCCATTGATTGCACTTGAGCAAACGTCACCAACCCAACCCTCGACAAACTGATTGTACGCCTCCAGTGATTTCCAGGCTCGGAATTGCTCACATGTGTATAAAATACCAGATAATGGTAACGTTACACATGATAATACTGTATGAGGCAAAGCTGCATAATCAGTGCTCGGTGCTTCCTTCGGATCCACACCATTTATGACTGAAATTTTCGCATTGTACCTCTCTCTGTCAAGTGTTAATAGAAACTCTTTATAATCTCTGCCACTTTGTCTCTTTATGATTTCCGTAACATTATAAACAGAAAGAAATATTTGAAATTTGCTTGTAAAACTTTGTAAACAGAGCAGCTTATGGCCTCAAAGATGGCGTCTCCGGGGAGGTCACGTGACATTAATTGGCCTGTGGGAACTATGTATATACTAATACACGTATTTTTTTTCTCCACTGTTTACATTCAGCCAACGCATAACCGACTACATTTAACGAAGAGGATACTCACTAAGACGGGCTTTTTGACAATTTCGTGTGAAATTGTCAGTTCAAGAACAAGATGACGTGAAAGAGAACTCAATTCAGTCATCTTCAGTAACGCGAGTAATTCTGCAATTTGCACACACAAAACTTCTCAGACAAAGTGCGAGTTATCTTTCTCATCTTCTTGCGCTTGAGTGTTTAAATTGGCATGGCTTAAAAATGTGTGCAAATACTACAACTTTCATGACGACGCAGCACTGGTCTGACAGTTCTGTCAACGAGCCCTACATGTGCTCACTCTTCCTCTTACGTTGAGTGTGGGTGTGTGAAAGAAAGTGACAGAAGGCGCTCTCAGGCAAGCTATGGTGCGCCAATGAAATTATATCTGCGCTAAACATATTTTTTGCCTCTAATTCAATTACAGACTGCAATCGTACAATTTACTAGCCATTGGCTAATTAAAGACATTTTAGTCGAAATTTGGTTGCATATGCGAGTGATTTACTCACATTGTAGAGGGTTGATAATAGATTATCAATAGCCTGACGTCGTCATACTCAGATTCTAGTCAGAACGTGAGTCCGATGATCCATTGGGCTGTGATTTTGGGGCGTGTTTCAACCGAACCAGGAAAGAAAATGCCTCTGCACTCAATTGGATCGACAAATGCCTTGATCGCGGTTCTGTTCCTCTTTTAAAATGAATGCGCCATCTACATCTTCTATAACAGACGCGATGGCTGAATCTACACATCTCAGTTCTCCAGCGGCAGCCATTCTTTATTGTAAACGAATTCAACCCAAGCGCTCTTTGGTGACGTGTATGATTACGTTACTGTTGATCATCTGTCCATCATCGTATAAAGCCCGCCCTGACAATTTGATTGGTCATCAATTTGATACATCCTCAAATGTTGTGGGCGGGGCTAAATTCGGCTGGCATCCAGGCTAGATTATCAATGCAGCGCTGGCCTAATTAATTAAAAGAAAAACTATTGAAAAGGACAGAAATCTTACCCTCCCTCTCAGATAGGCAGCTGTAGCATTCCTGCAGGACTTGAGACAGGAGCTGAACTCCTCTGCCACGCGTATGAGGCTGAGAGCTAGTCAGACTCAACCTGCATGGAGGATATGAAATTAATAAGGTGCACAATGGATTTCCAGTTGTACTTTTATTACAGTTTGAATACTAGAGAAAGGCAGGAGGAGGGTGACATCACAAACTCAGTTCTCTAAATGTATAAAGTTTACTTTACCCCAATGCTTCAACCAGCTGGAGAATTGTGAATTGTCCAGTCTTGACACCTTAAAAGAGACACACACTCATGTTTAACCCTGACATATGAAACAACAGGGTTTTATTGAATCCTTAAACAGAATTTTTCAAAAATAAGTTTTATATCGTCTTTGCTAGCCTAGATCAGGTTTTTATGGCTTATATAGTGAGAATATGGAGGGGAAAACAGCTTAATGTTATTCAGAGGTCCAAACTGAGCAAAAATATGCAATTTGGTGCACATGCTGATATATATGTTCAAAAAGTAAGATGAAATTCTGATAGCTTGTAATTTAAATCAATGAGATATTTATAACACAATACTTGCATAAAAAAATCAGTTATCAGTATCATATATATATATCCTAATAATATGTCTTAGTAAGATGATATTTAAAAACTTAGTTTTATGATCAAAGCACTTAAGTTTTAAAACATATAATGCAATGCAATACAAAGATGATTGAGAGATGAACAAAGAAATGTTTCTCAATCATCATATTTGACACTTGCATGAGTTTTCTTTAAATGATGTATGGATATAATAAAATAAACACCAGTACTTTTAGTGTCCAATGTTCATCTTGAAATATTACAAACAATATCTAAGTTATTCTTACGTTTACGTTATAAAAACCAGTAACACTATTTTAGTGTCCTTCTTACATATACTTACCATAGCAATAATAGTAAATTTACGTGCAACTAACCCAACCAAACCCTATAGTAACGTTACATGTTGTTAATTAATATTACTCAGTAACGTTACTTAAATATATTACACTATAACAAAGACATCTTAAAATAAAGTGTAACCTTAAAAAACCATTAAAGATTTCCACAGCAAAAAGACACAAGCTGAAGGTAGACGTTTTTACTGTTATTCTAAAAGGCCTTTTACTTGCTAAAAAGTATAAACTGTCAATAAGATGACATAAGGCATGTACGTTTGGATCATATTGATAATTTAGAAGCCTTACAATTTTACGTATCAGATATGAAAGTGTAACGTTAGGCTTTAGAGTTAATGTACATAAATACAGTGAAGTAACAGAGTCCACTGTCAGGTTCACACAGAAGGGCTCCGCTAGCAGACTAGCAAGGGAAGCACACAAGCCCTGAATAAAGAGAAACAACGCCATGGCAACTCCTGCTTTTGGGGTATTATCAAGCAAAAACACTGTGGAAATCTAACAAAGGTCTGATCTTAGTGTTCAGTCGCTGTCAGCAGCCACAGTGCGTGTGTGTGATACAGGATGTGGTGGTTAGCTCACGGCATTCACACACAGCATCTCACACACGCGGCGTTCGCGTACAGCTTTAATTAAGGGTCAGCGCTTAAAGTGGCAAGAAACAGAAAACATGAGAGAGGCCAATGATTGAACTACCTGAAGCGGTTTCTGTAGCCTTGCTATCAACCTGTCCAGACACGAATTCTTCCACTAAACCCAGGAGCAAACTGTTATCCGCGGCCATCCTGAAGACAAGAGCAGCCAGCAGCAGCTTCAAACTCGCAGTCGCCCGCGCATGCGCACAACCGCCGCAGCCACCGCGAAATCTCTTTCTTTCTTTTTTTTTTTGCTTCTAGTTTTGTGTTCTCATGTTTGAAATTGTTTCAAAGTACCGGTAATATATATATATGAGGTTTATTCTGGACTTTTAAATGTTAAATTTTGCACTATTCTTTTTTTTTTAAAAGATTAACTTTAATTATTTCTTTCCGGAAAAAGGCGTTTGAAAATAAGGTAAAATAACGTATTGTTTTTATTTTAAAAAATAAAAAAATTCTGTCATGTTTATTTTAAAGTCAATCCAAAATGAGAGAGAAAAAGACAATTATAAAGAAAAAAAATGTTCAATATTCTGTGTGGAAAAGTCTTTGTTATAAAAGAAGATTAGCAGTTTAATTAATTGGAAACATTTTCTTATATCACGAGAATACTGTACTCTGAAACACAGATGTGGAGAAGTGAGACTTTTGTAAAGTGCAGTCAGAGCTTTCCTAAAGTGGCGGAGATGCCAAACTCTGGGTTTGTTTGTATCATTCGTGTCGATCTTTAAACATCGATATTTTCTTAAACTAATATTGTATGTATGGATCTCAAATAAAAATATCATACGTGTTTTGGGATTAAATTTATTTGTGTTATTTAATTTAGCAAAAAAAGTTTCGTAAGAATGGAACTATTTTTCCTTTTGCTACAAACACGCTGAAAAGTGCACGCACTCACACAAGCACAGCACCCAGTCAAACTGAGAGAGTTGTGCTCGCTAGAGGCAATTATAATGTCCTCTTTTACACGTTTAAACCGGTTTAAAACGCTTGCGATCATGCCATTTTTGAGCGAAGTTTGAAGGCTCCATTAGAGGAGGGGCTCTGGTGGAGTCACGTGGTCAGAGCGCTTGCGCAATGAGCACCAGTAACGTGAACTAGTAGGAAACATCACTCAGTCAGTGTGGGGAAAGGTGCAAGACAAGCGAGAGATAAAGAACTCGGGCAGGTTTGCGACGCATAAATGTTTTAATATACCATAACGCGAGCACGAAATATTCAATAAAGCTCAAATACTAGCTTGTTTTTTTTATTTAGACTGGACTTTATGAGTTCAGACAAAAGCTCGTGCTCTGGCTGCTAGCTGCTGTAAGTTAGCTCGTGGGATAAAGCCAGAAATAACTAAACGCAAGTCTCGTGCCAGATAACTGATATTAGATCATCGCGAGACCCTCAGTCTGGAGTTTTGTTGAGTTTTGTTTTCTTTCCTTGGACTTCCCTTTGATGTACGTACGTACTGTTGACACATCACCCATAGTTAAACTGTAGTTTATTTTGAGTTGTAGTACTGGTTTACGTTTGGCAATTCAAATTATGATAAAGCAGGAGTGTGTATAGGTGCTGTCTTGAGATGTGGCCTGCGTTTGTTTGACGATCATGGGAGGATGCGTGGGGCGCGAGCGCGCGGAGTCACGCGGAGCGAGGACGCAGAGGAAACGTGGAGGTGAGACACACTGTTGCTTAGACTAAACACACACACACACACAAACCTGTTGCTTTAGACTCTGTGATAACCTGTTTGCATGTTTGTTTCCGTGTTTGGCATTCTTGAAAACATGCAAATATCAGGTGTATTGTGGCAGCCATCAGCAAAAAGTACCATGTTATTATCATGTAAATACCCAACATGTAAATGTGCATGCCTGCAGTGCTTTGATATATGTATCAAACTAACATATGCTTGCCATTACTGTACCACAGTTTCTTTGTTGTTGAAGTTACACATCTCTCCGCATTACTTCCATGTTTTCTCCAACAATCATAATTGGTTTAAATTTCAAATAAGATTCATTTGATGATTGACTGGTGTTTACTGGTACTATCATGCCTTCAGCTTTTCTTCATGTCAGTTTGTTTTGTGATGATTCTGAAACTCCTTTTTTGTAGATGTGACAATTCAGGCCCTTGGAAAGATTGACAGTTTTGATCATTATCTGTCTCCTCTGTTGTGTGTGTTTTTCCACCTGTGTGCGTGTTGGAGCCGGCAGTCGTTCAGGCTGCGGAGTCTCGTCTCAGGGCATGTCCATGCATGTTTGCTCCGTTTGCCATGAGCTGAAGTAAAACATAATTTGGGATAGAAAGAATTTCTTTCCATCACAGGAAATGTAGTCCAGTGATGACAGCAGCGACAGTGACATGCGTTTGACTTCTATCAGTGAAAGTCTTGAGGACACGGACGTCTTGCAGCCAGTATCAGTGTATTGTAGGGTTATCTGTACTTCAGCAGGTTGTGTGTGTGTGTGTGTGTGTGTGTGTGTTTCTTGCTTTGAACAGGAGATAAGATTTTCTTTTACACATGATGGGCGTTATATATATTACGTGCATTTCTCCAGTCAAGAACATCTTTGCACCAGAGTAAAGTTTGGGAAGTTTATTCAATAACAGCAATTCATTCTCAAGCATGTGTCGCTTAATAATTATTAAACATCAGTCCTAAACAGTAAGGGGAAAAAATCACTATAATAATCTACTAAATACATAAAGACACTAAAGAATCAGTTCATAAGTTATTTGTTTTGTGAATCTGATTAAACGGCTATTATTATTACTGATTTAATTAAATGATTGAATTTTGCTTAATATGAAATTTAATATGATTTAATTAGTTTTATTGTTATTTATAAAGTTTTTAACTTTTCAAACTTTGCGTAATATAAAAGTCATAATGAGCATAAAAGACTGATTTGTTAGTGTTGTTTTACTCATGAACGGATTCTTTTAAGAGTTATTTGAGAATCTTATTGTTATTAACGGAGCAACGTTTGAAAAGTTCAAAAAAATTATTATTACTTATTTTAAAGATTTGTACTTCTCAAATTTTGCTTAATACGAATATTACATCTTTATAATGTGCATAATGCATACAAGTGTTTGTGAGTGTTTTTAACTGAAAAGAGTCAGTTCATAAGAGTCATTTGTTTGAGAATCAGAGTTTTATGTGTGTGTGTGTGTTTGTTGTATGTTTGCTGCGAGAACAAAGATGCATGTTATTGTCTGTCTTGTCTAATGTGACCCACAGGAGTTCAGACTCACCGCAAACCAAAACCTAACGTCATAAACATCATTTTCCCAGCTCTAATACAACAATGTAATCAGTTCTGAGGAAGAGCCACATTATTTTATAATGCCGCGTGTGGAAAAGGGAACATCTCGTGTTCCTGCTGTAACGACGGGAGGGGAAGAGAATCTGTCGCAGCTTGCGGTGTGTGTGTGTGTGTGTGTGTGTGTGTGTGTGTAACGAGAGAATTACAGGAGAAGAATGCAACTTTATGCGGCTCCTTTCAGCTCTTGGCCTCAAGACACAGAGACCGCATTTACATATCATTTGACTAGAGCTTATATTAGGTGCTGAACTTTTGACAGCCGCATTCTGCATTACACGCACATTGTCTCCTGTTGTTGTGGCATATTATCATAAAGTGAAATAAGCTGGTTTATAAACAGTGCCCTGCTGACTCAAGACTCAACCTTGTCACCTTTGCTGTTTGAGTCGTTGACTAGATCACAAGTGTGTGTGAACCTATGAGACAAGCGCCTTCCTTCTAATCGTGCATATACTGCAGGACAAATTATTATATATTATTAAAGGGATAGTTCACCCAAAAATGAAAATTCTGTCAGTAATTACTCTCCCTCATGTTGTTCCAACCCTGTAAGACTTTCGTTCATCTTCAGAACACAAATTAAGATATTTTTGATTAAATCTGAGAGCTGGATCACTCCTCCATAGGCTTCTTAAGGGATTGAAACTTGCCGGCCCAAAAGTTGTGAAAGACATCGTTAAAATAGTCCGAGTGACTACAGCGGCTCAATCTTAAGTTTATCAAGTGACGAGAATACTTTTTGTGCGAAAAAACCCCCCCAAAAAACCGACTTTATTCAACTATTCATTTCCTTCTCTTTACGGCCGTGATATTTCACGTAGTGATATTGCGCAAAGCTTCTAGGTTGCACGTTTTTTTTTTTTTTTTTTTTTTTTGCACAAAAAGTATTCTCGTCACTTGATAAACTTAAGATTGAGCCGCTGTAGTCACTCGGACTATTTTAACGATGTCTTTCACAACTTTTGGGCCGGCAAGTTTCAATCCCTTAAGAAGACTATGGAGGAGTGATCCAGCTCTCAGATTTAATCAAAAATATCTTAATTTGTGTTCTGAAGATGAACGAAAGTCTTGCGGGGTTGAACAACATGAGGGAGAGTAATTACTGACAGAATATTCATTTTTGGGTGAACTATCCCTTTAAGTTGTTTTCACAATTTGCAGACTATTTTTCACTATCCTGACAAGTGACAGAGCAACGACCAAAGAAATGTAGAATAAATGAGAGATGGCCATCAATCTTTAGTTCACTCTCCTTCTGGGAGCATTTAGAGTTCTTCACATTGTCAGTGGTTTCTTTTATTTGACCAACATTGGATTGTAAACGGCCATTTGTCTGTGCCTGTCACTTTGAAAGGCCGCTTTAACCCTATAAGGCCTAATGTATCATATTTGATAGATGAATTTCTAAGGTCTTTAAATTATCAACATGATCAAAACATTGCTGAATAACCTGTTGTAGACATGCCTTCATATTTATTTTAGCAAGTAAAACTGCATTTTAGTATAATGGTTAAAAACATCCACCTTCAGCTCGTGGTTCACGTGTCTTTTCGCTTTAAATCTTTGCTTATTTTCATAAAGTACATGCAAGAATAAATTTGATATTGTCTCTAATAATCACTTGCTGGACTGAAGCAACATAGGTGGTCTTGATTATCAATACATTTTTTTTTTTTTAGAAAATAAAAAATTAGGCTTTTGAGGAAGGTTTATTTCTCAATCATCATTGTATTGCATTGCATTGTGTTTTAAAATAGCAGAGCTTTGATCATAAGACTAAGCATTTAAATATCATCTTACTACTTAGGCATATTATTGAGAGTGATAACTGATATTTTTTTACATGCATTTTTATGTAATTGGTGTGTTATACTGTTATAAAGTTCTCATTGATTTACATTACAAGCAATCAGAATTTCATTTCTTCCATAATAATATCAGCATCTGCACGAATTTGGCATATTTCTGCTCAGTTTGGGTCTCTGAATTTGGGTTTGAGCTTCATATTCTCACTAATCATAATAATAATAATAATAATCACTATACAATTATCGGTAACACTTTACAATAAGGTTATTGGTTAACTACATTAGTTAGCATGAACTAATTGAACTAATAATGAACTGTACTTATACAGCTTTTATTAATCTTTGTTAATGTTAACTTCAACATTTATTAACACTTTATTAAAATCTTGTTAGCATTTGTTAATGCAGTGTGAACTAACATGAACACAATGAACAGCTGGATTTTTATTAACTAACATTAACAAAGATGAACAAATACAGTAACAAATGCATTTCTCATGGTTAGTTCACATTAGGGATGTAACAATATATCGCAATACAAAAATGCAACAATACGTATCATCGATAGTGACAATATGTATCGTGGATAGTCCCCCCCCCCCCCCCCCCCCCCCCCCCAAAAAATGACTATGTGAGAAAAAAATTCTAGTTTTCTGAGTTTTAGTGTCACTACTACATTAAACTACTATATATAATGTTGATTATAATGTATAATAATGCAATGGGGGAATATTTGTTGGTCCTGATAATACCAAATTTTACCTGACCAGTAAAAAGTGTCCTACCTACATTATTTTAAATATATCTAGTCAGTGAAAAAGTGCAAGCATATTCATCTAAAATAGTTCTGTATTTTCAGCTTCAGAATCATGAATATTTTTATTCTGGTGTCACCATTGTCATTTACACACACAATGTAATATCAAAGTTAGCATTTTAATCAACAGTACATTTTTTGTTAACCTTTTATCATATGTCTTGGAGTATCGCAATAATATCGTATCGTGATATGTTTCGAATCGTGACATGAGGGTATCGTTACACACCTAGTTCACATTAGTTAATACTTAAAAAATGAACCTTATTGTAAAGTGTTACCCAATTTTATAAACTTCCATTTCAAAATTGAGATTTTCTGACTATCATATGGCAGGCTTGACGGTGTTAATCGGTTTAGAGGACCAGACTTCCTGTAATACTTGAATCATGTGTAGTCCTAAAAGTTGTTTAATGTTGATGATATTCGTTCACTCCTTCCACCATTGTGCTGTCAATGAAGCATTCTGGGTGGAACAACGCTGTAAATCACACACAATGTGTCCTGTTAATTTGTAATTACACCTAAGCTGGCCATGCTATAAATAATGTGTTTTGATGATGTCCTTTGGATACTTGGCCATAGTCAGAGCAGAATCGATGGGAAAGCACTGAATCATGGTCCACCCACCCACTATCTCTCCATCAGCCTGAACTTCCTCATTTCTATAGCAGGTTTATTATTAGAGGTGTTTGCTAAGGCAAGCATCATTATTGCTTAATCGTATGGAGTAACGGTGATTTCCTGTAAAAGAGCAGTTACGACTGTGTTCCTGTCCAAATTACTGCTAAATCTTCTAAACATTACTTACTTGACTTTTGAATTCTCATTTTTATGGTATCTCAAGCCTTACCAATATAGTTTTTAGGGCTGTCACTTTTGAAAAAAATCTAATTCGAACGGATATCGAATATCAAGCAATGTATTCGAATATCTACGAGCCCCCCGCCCCCATAAAAAAAAAAAAAAAAAAAAAACACAACACCATAACGGAGATTCAATCACGAATTTATTAACAACAGTCTGACAGTCATAAACAGGACTCGGGCCATAGCCTGTCTGAAAAAAAAAGTTTGAATTAAATGTTTGAAATATGAATAATCAATATGAACGTGCCACTATGCATAGCCGATCGCAACATTAGGCTACATAGAAGAAAACAGAATCGGAACAGCATGGCACAATAATGTGACAGCTTAAACAGTAGCCATGAGTAAGACATAGCAGCATTATTCATTTCTTAATGTTGTTTGCTAGAAACACCAATCTGTCAACTTGATCTGGATCAAGTGCGGCTCTCTTTTTATTCACGATGTTCCCCGCGGTGGAGAACACACGTTCGGAGCGCAGACGTGCCTGGCACACACAGGTATTTGCGCGTCAACGTTGAGAGAAGTGGGTATTTGTTGCAGCCTGTGTCTCTCCACAAATGCAGTGTGTTGCTGTCTGCGGGGAGAGGATTGGAGTATTGGAGTAGATGAGATGGATTGGAGTAGTAAATTGTCCGCTCATGTTGGCCTTTCTGTGCATTATCTTCCATTTTCAAAACAGATTATTCGCTTGATTTGGTCATGAGCCTACGCTACAATACGTTTAGAGCGCCCTCTACTGGATGAGATGACAAACAATAAAATAAAAAACAAACGGTCTAATCATAGACTGTAAAAAATGCGTTAAGCATGGCACTTTAAAAACCGGATAGTTTATTTATAGTTCGGTTACGGTTATTTCACGTCATGTTCGAATGCATATTCGAATATCGAATAAAAAGTGACAGCCCTAATAGTTTTCTTGGTTGCTTTCTGGTGACCTTTATAAATCTGATTATGGCAGTATATCAGCCAATTAGCAATTTTTTAAAGCTGCAGTCGGCAAGTCTGGCAGATTGAGTGGACTTGAAATTTTGAATGTTTACAACTCTCATGCCCCTCCCCCACTATCAACGGATACCCTCCCACCGAGTTCATTCTCGTCAGTGCGTGTGCACCAGATTTTCAGTGAACGTGCCCGTCTCATCAGCATCATGGAGTATTTGAAGGTATGCTGTCCTGGCTAATCTACCGATAGATTGCAATTGCTAACGTCATTTATACTCTAAATGAGCTTACTTGATTTGTTAGTGTTCCGCCATCACTCTTCGTTACTGCGCGAACTTCAGGCGTGTGTATGTGGTTGTAACGTGCGCGAGGGGTGGTGTGTGCCCGATCTGTGATTGACAGTGAGATCTCACACCCCCCTGCGCTGATTGGACCCGATGATCCGGGAGCTGTGGATTTTTGCAAAACAAATAACACTCTCCAGGTGGAGTTAGAAGCTCGGGTTTTTCTCTAAAACCACTTTATTTATGTTGTTCTGTCGGATTATAGTGTCGATTTCACTAAATATTATCAAAAAAATGTTGCCGACGGCAGCTTTAATTATCGGCATTAGCCGATAATTATTTTTCTGTTTGGTTGAAGCAGTCAGAATCCCGTCTGTTGTGGTTTATTGTTTTCAGGACGCTTCTCGATAATTCAGACTTCATCAGATATTTAAAGTTAAGCTAAATTTGTATGGATGCATCGATATGAACATTTTGGCCGATACCGATACCGATAATTCTTTATATTTGAAAGCTGATAACCGATATATTGGCCAAAAAATCAAAACCCAAATTTTCATATAGTTTTTGAGAGACTAATAACAAAAGTCTCAAAAGATAACAAACGTCTCACCATTAAAACCACGTCCAAAGCACTTGAATAATCAAAAGCACCAACATAAATCAAACGTGCAAGTTTTAAAATTAATTTTACACTACTGTGGCTGGCTAACTTTCCTTATCAAAAAAATTGCCTTACAAATAAAGAAAACAAAGCTTATATAAGGCAAATAAATCACTGGACAACATCACTCCTTATCCACTATCCAGTAGTATCATTATCAGTCCTAATCAGCAGTGTGTGTGTTGGGCTCAACATATCATTGTTGATTCAAAACAAGAGCTGTATTTGACCAGATAACTTCAGGGTCATGGAGGGGGTGTTTAGAGTTTGGCTGTTGCCCTCAGGGTTGTTGTGAGATGTGAACTGGATAGATGAAGGCTGAATTGATCTGTCATTTGCACACAAACAGTCATAAATGCACAACCTTTGCTCAGTCATGTGTATATGAATGAGTATAGTTCACTTCTGCTTTTATTTTGAGACTAAAGTCACTGTAATCCACAATCATGTGTTATATTGATACTAATTAATGCTTGATTTATGTATTATGTATCTCTAAATCTTGTGTGTGTGTATAATATATATAATGTGTGTATGTATATATACACAATATCAACTTTAATAATCAAAGAAGAAATGGCACATTTCATCACCGGGATACAAAAATATTATAATAAAAAGAAATGCATAAATATACGTACACTATCATTCAAATGTTTGGGATCTGTAAGATTTCTACCCCAAATGTTTGAACGTTAGTGTTTTTTATTTGTATTTTTTGTAGTCATTTGTGACGAAATATGCTCTTTTGACTTTTTCTACATTCTTGATCTAAATGTTCCTTCTAAATTTTCCATTACACTATAATCATTTGAATACACTACATGTCAATTCTTGTTTATTAGACTATTACTTTTACATTCCACTCAGTTCTCTGTTTGTTGTAGCATCAGAGAAAGTACTGATGGAAAATACAAATGGAAAGTCTTTGTCGACCTTCACATGTGATGTCATGAAACTAACCTCAACATAATTCACTGGAATAGTAAAAGTCTGGCCCAATGGTCAAAAAGTAATGTGGTCGTCTTTTTGATCATCAAAGCTACTCAGTCTTTCTCCAGCAACTTTCTGCTAAGCCATTGTTCCAGGAAATGTTGTATAGCCTACACTTCTCTCACATTAGTGTTAATTCACACATCATCTGCGTCTCCAGGTCGCAACGAGCCCCTGAAGAAAGACAAGCTGAAGTGGAAGAGCGATTACCCAATGACGGAGGGGCAGCTGCGCAGTAAGAGAGATGAGTTCTGGGACACGGCTCCGGCGTTTGAGGGCCGCAAGGAGATCTGGGACGCCCTAAAAGCTGCCGCCGTGGCTCTGGAGTGTAGCGATCACGAGCTGGCTCAGGCTATAGTGGACGGAGCCAACATCACGTTACCACATGGTGAGAGTCTTGATTAGCTGTGATAAACCTAGCTTTGTGTGTGACTTGCTGTCTTTTTTAGAACAGAAATAGAAGAAATTTGGATGAATGTTCATGCTGCTCTTTTCCATAAATCAAAAAGCAGTGATGTGGTGCTGCCAAAATTGCCGTACAAAAAAAGCATCATAAATGTAGTAGTGTGATAACCAAAATTTAAGTTGCCAAAAAAGTAGCACAGAAGTCACACCAGATCAAAATTTTGCATTGTTGAGAGAGGGAGAGAAAAAAATAGTGTATATTGCCTTTTTTTTTTTACATTTCAGAAATAATGGCAAAATACTGATAAAAAAAAAACATTATATAAACATGTATTTTAGTTCCCCTCACACCACAAAAAGTCCTTCAAATTTAAAGGTATACAGAACTAAATAAATTATAGTTGCATTTATTATAAGCATCTTTTATTATAACTAATTGGCTTTTAGAGTGAATATGTTAGCCTTATTGTTATCTATAAGCTAGTGTGCTCCAGAACAATGACAAAATTCACATTTAGAAGATAAAAGCATTCAAAACTTACAGTCTGCCGATATGGATCAGTGATTTTGATGACATCACTCTGCACTTCAGATTTTCTGTCCAATCAAATGCTCTCTAGAATCCGAAGCTCCGCCCCCTTCATGGCTTAATCCAAATGTTTAATGTTTGGTTGCTATACTATTATTTCTTTGTACTTAACTCGTGTCCCAGTAAAGCGCCAACTTGTACATGCACAAGTTGCCTTGGAATATAAATTGCACGTTTCAGATTGTTAAAAAAGTGGAAAAAACGTGCTGGTCGAATGACACACAAGATCCAATTCTGTTCGGCATTGAACAAGGGTCTCCACAAGTTTGATATATATACAGGTGAAACTCAAAAAATTAGAATATCGTGCAAAAGTTATAATTTTGATGATTATGTCTTACATCTTACACCCCAAATTCAAAATCTCAGAAAATTTGAATATTACATGAAATCAATAAAAATATTCTGTTTAAATGCAGAAACGTCGGCCCTCTGAAAAGTATAATCATGCATTTATATATATACTAAATATACTACTTTCACCTTTTAATTTGAATCTCTGAAATACTTTTGCACGATATTCAAATTTTTCGAGTTACACCTGTATATTCAGATTTAATTGATTAATATTAATACATTTGATCAAATAATTGATTTGTTTCTATCAAATAACTATATTTATCTATTTAAATACCTTATTATCTTCACACCCTGGCCCTTATTTTCTTTACTGGCCGAAAAGGGAAGTTTTCACCATAATAAGGAAGAATGTAATAACATAAAGTGTTTGTGCAAATCATGACACACGCATCATCCCTCATTGTTATATCTGAAGCACGTTAACCCCTCATCACTGACGGTTGTTTATATTCATTCAATCACTCTAGGATCCCTGACCGAGTGTTACGATGAACTCGGAAACCGTTACCAGCTGCCGGTTTATTGCCTGGCCCCGCCTGTCAATCTGATATCAGAAAGAAGTGATGAAGACCTGTCGGATAACCCTGAGCCCCAGACGGCACCGAAGAAAGAGTTCCAGCTGAAGGTTCGGCTCTCCACCGGCAAAGACCTGCGCCTGAACGCCAGCATGACGGACTCCATCGGCCTGCTAAAGAAGCAACTGCAAGCTCAGGAGGACATTGACCTGGCCCACCAGCGCTGGTTCTTCTCCGGAAAACTCCTGACAGACAAGACCCGCCTGCAGGACACCAAGATCCAGAAGGACTTTGTTATCCAGGTCATCGTGAACCAACTGACACCAAACCCCTGAAGCGCAACTGCAAAGAGATTAACGAGCAAAAACCCCCGCGAACGTAAAATGTTGTGCACAAAAATTTTGTCAGGACGCTGTGTGCGTCGAGTCGTCTTCAAATCGAGCATCTGGAGAAACGAATAAGCGGATTATGAATTGTTATTTGGAAATAAACAAACCAACCGAACGAACGGATTGCATCTCTGCTAACTTCAGCAGAAGTGCCAAAATGAATTTAATAGCGAGTCCCTTGACTATGTGCTGAAAAGTACCAACATGATCCTCTGAAAGTGATCTCCCTTTGTAAGATAATCGAACTTGAGCTTCATTTTGCACACTTTGAGTATCTTAGAATAGTTGTGCCTTGAAAGAAGAGTAGATTAAGAGTTATTTTGCTTACGAGGCATGTTTCAGTGCGGCCACACACACACACACACATGCTTTGTATTTTTTCTGACGTCTTTGAGCACAACCCAGTACTTTCTATGCAATCTTAAAACAGTTTCAGACTGATATCATTATACAGCTAATCCACATTTCGGACACGTTTGCTAGAGGCCAGTGACGCTCAAAAGGCTCACTGTGTAAATCTAGTGCACAAAGACACATGCTATACATCTTCATCTCCGGGCACCGCACAGTCTCCGTGCCCTGTAGATTACAGATCATCTAGTAGAGGAACGCGCATCGCAAACGGGAAGATTGGACACACTGTCACTTTAATGGCTGTCTGACTTCCTCTTTTATAGAGATGTTATGCTGTAAGCGCTCAGGCTGCAATCAGAGAATATTGCTACTATTTTGAGAGATTATATTATATACTATTTCAATCTTTACCCTGCTTTTTTTACTTGCTTATTGTAAGACTTTTTACTGATTCTTAACCCTTTATCAGTGGCATTACAAGCATTCTGCAAGTAACTGCATTAGGGCCTGCACGATGCTCACAAACATTCGTTCATTCAGGTTTCAAAACGTTTCTTTTACTAAAGGTCTTCTGCTCCTGGTTATTTCCCCATGTGACACTGCGTGCCCCACACCGGTTAGAAACGGCTCATTACCTCAGCGGCAACTGTTCCTCATTAGCACTGGCGTGTTCGTTATACATCTCTCTTCTATCACGCCATTCCTTCTGCTCTGGGTTACTTTGTCTTCTTTTGTTGTTGTTGTTTTAAAGATACAAACTGGTGTACAATAACCTTCATGCATGAGTTAAATCACATTAAGTTATCATTGGAAATAGCAGGTTTTTTTCCCTCTCCAAATTGCGGCATTTTGCATTTGAGGAATTTTCCAGGTTAACTACAAGTTAAGCTTTTCCAGCTTTTACTGTATAGTAAACTATCACTTGCTATGCAAGTCTATGTGGCGTTTTCATTGGTAATCGACAATATGCTGTAGCTTAAAGGGTATGTGTATATTCTGTCATTTACTCACTCTTATGTTCTACACCTGTATGACTGACTGACACAAAAGAAGATCTTTTGAAAATGTTGACTGTTGGTCACACAAGCCATAATTATGAAAAAAAAGAAGAGAATTCAGGCAAAAAGTTTGACTTAATATGCTATAATTTTTACTATCTCATAATTGTCAAAATTGAGTCATAAGTTGACATTTGTCAGAATTTTACATTTTGACTGATAATCTAGCTTTTTATCTCAGTTATGACATGAAACAACTACATTTTTTGACTTATGACATCTAAATTTTGACTTAGTATGCCATAATTTTTACTATCTCATAATTGTCCAAATTTGACATTTTTGTCAGAATTCTCAATTTGGATTGATAATCTAGCTTTTTATCTCAAGTATGACATGAAACAACTCAATTATTTGACTTATGACATCTACATTTTGACTTTGTATTCCATAATTTTTACTATCTCATAATTGTCAAAATTTTTTACTTTTTGTCAGATCTCTTAATTTTGACTGAAAACTTCGCTTTTTATCTCAACTATGACGTGAAAAACATAACATCTAAATTATTTGACTTATTTGATTATATGACATCTCAATTTTGACTTAGTATGCCATAATTTTTACTATCTCACAATTGTCCAAATTTGACATTTTTTTGTCAGAATTCTCAATTCGGATTGATAATCTAGCTTTTTATCTCAATTATGACATGAAACAACTCAATTTGACTTATGACATCAACATTTTGACTTAGTATGCCATAATTTTTACTATCTCATAATTGTCAAAATTATTGACATTTTTGTCAGATCTCTTAATTTTGACTGAAAACTTAGCTTTTTATCTCAACTATCTAAATTATTTGACTTATGACATCTCCAATTTGACTTAATATGCTATAATTTTTACTATCTCATAATTGTCCAGTCATAAGTTGACACTTTTTTTTTGTCAGAATTCTCAATTTTGAGTGATAATTTAGATTATATCAAGTATCACAAGTGAAACAACAACTCAATTGTTTGACTTATGACATCTCAATTTTGACTTTTTTCAAAATGTAACCTTTTTTGTCATAATTGACTTTTTATTTCATCATAAATTATGTTTAGAAAAAAAAAATTTGCTCCATAAAATTAAAGTCAGTGGGTTCCCATGTTGTTTTGGACCCCATTGACTGTCATTATATGAACAAAAAACATTGCTTATATCTAGTAAGTCGCAGGTTTGGAACACGAGGGTGAGTAAAATATGACACACTTCATTTTTGGGTAAAACAAGCTGGAATATTCCCAGAAGTCCTTCGCAGCGTAAAGCACACGCCCCTGTGGGTACAGCGAGGCATCAAAACCCTCTGACGAAGAGTCACTCAGTACCACAGTCATCATTTATGTGCGTCGTTGATTTACATGCTCTGATAAGAAAGAAACTGCACACAGTGATGTTGTGTACTCCAATCCCGCATACTTTGCTAGTGCTTTCCCGGGTTGGGAGCTGTGTGACCTCTGAAGGAGAGGTCATTCCTCCTGGCCTTCGTCAGCACAATCTGAAACCCTTATGCTGTGACAACATGTGCTGATGTTGCTAATGATAGAGAGCTTGGTATTTATTCTCTCATTGGCATTCATTTCGGGAAACAGCTCCACTTTTGCTTGTAATATTCAAAACATTTAATGGAAATAGGCAAAGTAAGAATATCATTAAAATGGTTATAGTGTAAGTCTGTATGTTGTGTGTTCATCATTATGTTTTACATATGTGTGCTGATTATGATCATAATGGTTCATTTATGATCATTTTTATTGAAGAGGGACATTGCTGTTGTTTTTTTCTAGCCGACACAATTCTGCATTCATACAGGCAATGTTTCAGTCGGTGTTTTCTTCATGTATTGTTTGTTTGAATGGGTGTCTCATGACATTAGGTTTCCAGATTTGACTGAGGAAGCTGTTATGAGCCGCACTGTACATGTGGATCTTTCTCGCCCCACTGTGTTGGGACGGTTTCAGGAGACACAATTTGGACGTTTGTCTTTCAAACCGCAGATTACAAGAAGCCATTACGCTTTACTCCAGCTTGCCGTGGGTATGGAAGCCTGTGTCTGCCACATAAAATAATAATTACATGAAAACATAAGTCAACTTTATGAATACGAAGTCATAATTATGAGATAAGCCAAAATTGAGATACATAATTTGGAGATACGCCATTAAGAAAAGCCGTAATTTTCATGAGTAGCTCATAATTGAAACTTTTTCATAATTTTGCTTTTATCTCATAATTACTACTTATTTTGTCAGATTTGACTGTTTGTTCTCATATGTATGATCTGTCAATTTTGACTTTTTCTCATAATTGTGATGAAGTCTCATAACTGTGACGAATTATCTCATAATTAGGAGATATGACTTTATCTCATAATTAGGAGATATGACTTTATCTCATAATTAGGAGATATGACTTTATCTCATAATTAGGAGATATGACTTTATCTCATAATTAGGAGATATGACTTTATCTCATAATTATGATTTGTATTCGTATGTGGCAGAAACATGCTTACATGTGTGCGTGTCCCACTTACAAAATACATGAACTTTCATAAACCTTTAAAAGGAATTCATGTGAATTTCTTCATAGATTAATATCTGTATATTAAGAGATAAAATGTGTGAAATTCTTATACTTAAATGTGCTTACGGCCTGTTTCACAAACGTTATGTATAATTTACATGGTAATCTGTTTTTCAGATGTTTTAATTGTCAATTAAAATGACAGCTGTGAAAGCAAACAGATGTTTGTCCATAAACTGCTAATCATTTCATCATGTTCTCAGATCGGTTTCAAGTGTTTTAATGAGCTTGGGAAGAGTTAGTCTGACCTTTACTGTAATAAAGCAAGTGTTGCTATCATTTTTAAGTCTGCAGAAAAGGTGAAGTGTCTGCGGGCGGGAATATTGATGCGTTTAAAGCGCCATATTTTACACCTCTCACTGGTTAAATTTCAAGAATGTATGGGTTATGAATTTTAATACCATCTCATGTGCCGATACATGTTCAGCATCTGTTTTAAAGTAGATTCTGATTGGCTGTCAATGTTGTTCATCAGCTGGAAAAAAAATGTCTGAATGTGATTCCACTGATATTGCCATTATCGTTATTGTTGTTGTGTGATCTTTGCTACTCTCATAGAATTAGAACGATTATTAAAACTTTATCTTTATAGTTGCTTATCTCTGGACCTCCTCGAATTTATTAACAACTATAATATACTGTAGTAAGAAAAAACTTTTGAAAAACTTTTATACTACTTTCAAAAACACTTTAATAACTTTAAAATATTTTACAAATATCAAGATATCCAATCTTAAATTTAGTATGAAATTATTAAAAGATATTATTTATTAACTGTGATGTGGGCTTCCCTGTTCTTATTAAACTAGAATGATTATTAATACTTTATCATTATATTTGTATATGTATCTGTGTGTGTGTGTGTGTGTATAGCTATATATATATATACATAAATACATGTATATGGCTGTGTGTGTATAATATATATATATATATATATATATATTATTATTAAAATTGTCAATTTTTTTTT